CGCATGGCTTTGGAAACACCAGGCTGAGTGTGCTTCCTTCGGCTCTCTCCCAGGATGGGTGCATTTCCCTCCCTCCCAAAAGACGAGCATCTCTGCACTGAGCATTATTTATTCAACCTGCTTAGTGTCATCATGCGGCTTTTGCCATCGTTGAACTGCTACTCAGGTCTTTTCCCGCTAGTGTGCAATAGAGGCTATCACTGTTAAGACCTCCTGCCATGGGCCTTTCAATGTTATATGCAATTTAACAAGGTGAAATCTTTGCAGAAGGAAAACTACCATATTTACAGCACGCCGCAGGCAGCCGTGAAACAACAGAAGCCCCTGCAAGGACAAGACTGGTGCCTGCATTTTACTTAAACCCCAGTTGCGGCTGGTAGTTGCAGATGCTATCGTTAGCCCCGAGCTCTGCTGCAAAATCAGCCTCGGAGGATTCACACGTTTAAAGCACAAGACTGTCATGGAATTCTACTCAGTATTCATCCGGAGTAGATTCCAATGTATAGTTGTTGTTGTTGCTTAGTCGTTTAGTCGTGTCTGACTCTTCGTGACCCCATGGACCAGAGCACGCCAGGCACTCCTGTCTTCCACTGCCTCCCGCAGTTTGGTCAAACTCATGCTGGTAGCTTCGAGAACACTGTCCAACCATCTCGTCCTCTGTCGTCCCCTTCTCCTTGTGCCCTTAATCTTTCCCAACATCAGGGTCTTTCCCAGGGAGTCTTCTCTTCTCATGAGGTGGCCAAAGTATTGGAGCCTCAGCTTCACGATCTGTCCTTCTAGTGAGCATTCAGGGCTGATTTCCTTCAGAATGGATAGGTTTGATCTTCTTGCAATCCATGGGACTCTCAAGAGTCTCCTCCAGCACCATAATTCAAAAGCATCAATTCTTCGGCAATCAGCCTTCTTTATGGTCCAGCTCTCACTTCATACATCACTACTGGGAAAACCATAGCTTTAACTATACAGCCCTTGGTTGGCAAGGTGATGTCTCTGCTTTTTAAGATGTTTGTCTAATGTATAGTTAGCAGAGTAAAAACTTAAAACACGTTGCAGGATTTCCAAAAAATAGACCAGAGGCAATTGTATTTCATCCAGCAGATCTTTGCTGGTACTGAAGGCAAATGAGCATAATGGTCACAAATCCAATACATTCAGGATTGGCACTTTCCATAAAAAAATCCATTTGCAGCAGACGTAACTTAAACTTACAATAACTTACAGTAAGTCTAAACCTTAACACTAAGCGTACAGAACACGACACCAGAAGGAAAAGAGATAGAAAGTGAAACCCAGGCTCCTTCTGGCCTTACTTTTATAGTCAGCATGACCTTGGCAGAAAGAGATAAGAGAACTAGCTTAAACCAGCTGCGCTCAGCTTCTCTGAAGGAATAACCCAAACACCAGGAACCTTCTGCTTGTTTCTTTCACACAGAGAAGCTTCCAGAAGCTTCCAGAACCCTCTTGAATTAATTAGAATAGGAAAGATCTCTACACATCGAATCAATACTTTTTGTACCAAGAAATGCAAACTAACAATGACCCTCCCGCCCCCAAAGAAGGGAATTGTAGTTTGTAAAAGGTGCTGAAGATTGTAGTTTTCTGAGGGGGAACTACAGTTCCCAGGATTCTTTGCGGGAACTTGCATGCTTTCAATGTGTGTTGGTTATGCTTTAGATGTATGGTGTTGGTGTGACCCACACATCAGTTGGAAGGGTTGGGTGCTAGTTGAAGCCCAGTTATGATTTTGAAGAGGACTGGTCTCCTTGGCACCACAGGTGAACAGTTTCTTTGGTGACCCCTTTATTCACCCACTTACAGTGGTACTTCGGGTTACATACGCTTCAGGTCACAGACTCCGCTAACCCAGAAATAGTGCTTCAGGTTAAGAACTTTGCATCAGAATAAGAAAAGAAATCGTGCTCCGGTGGTGTGGCGGCAGCAGCAGGAGGCCCCATTAGCTAAAGTGGTGCTTCAGGTTAAGAACAGTTTCAGGTTAAGAATGGACCTCCGGAATGAATTAAGTACTTAATCCGAGGTACCACTGTATTTATTTCTTGCCTTTGTATCCCGCCTTTTCTCTCCACGGTGGCCTACATGGTTCTTTCCACTCCTCATTTAATTCTCACAACAACCCTGTGGTTGTAGGTTGGGCTGAGAGGCAGCGGCTGGTGCGAGGTCACCCACTGAAGTCATGGCTGAGTCTCAAGGACTGGCTGGATGACAAAGAGCAGTTGGAGCATCCTGCCCAAGAGCCCCCCAGGGAGGACACAGAAGAAGACCACTTAGATCCCGGATCGTGGTGGTGGGACACTGAGGAGGAGTCTATGGAGGAAAGGACCTGGGAGGTGCTAGAAGCAGGGAGGTTGAGCGATCAAGAGGGGTCAGGAGAAGGAGGGTCCTCCAGGATTGTTCCTGCTACACAACAGCGGGGCAGTCCCAGTCCTGCTGTCTCTCCTCCCCCTCTGACTCCTTGCATGATGTTGAGCAATGGGCCAGGCAGGCCTAGAGAAGGAGCCCACCTCCTGGATGTAGCCTTCGTCTGCTTGGGAGGGATCCAGAGTGAGAGGCTAGAGTAAGGTTACCAGATTTATTTCAATGAATCCAGGGACACAATCAATCAATCAATCAATCAATCAATCAATCAATCATATATTTTTTTGGAAAAAAATTATTAAAGAAGAAGAAGTAATATCTTCTCTTCTGTGGTCTCCTCTGTTGCGCGGCCTTCCTCTGGGTCCTGGCCTTTCTTGGAGCACTAGCCATGCTTCCCCCCTCCTTCCCTCCCTCTCCCTCCTTGCACTGCGATCCTCTACAGGCTTACTCGGGAGTAAGCATTAGCAGAACCCCCCTCCTCCTGCTGCTGCCCTGCCCACCTGTCTGGGCATCTCCTGCACAGGCATCGTCCAGTGGCCGCCCATCCGCGCCATGGCGGGTCCGGGGCAGAGCCAGTGGCAAACGCATGGGAGGAGGTGTGCTTGGGCCGGATCAGCTCGTCTCCTGCTCGCCTCTCATCTGTGATGGCAAACGACGAGCTGGCCAACAAGCTGATCTGCTGCTTGCAAGTCAAGGAGCACAGTGGCAAAGCCAAGCAGCAGCCACAGCCGCCCAAGCACCACCCAGAGGCCGAGCCGGAGCCGGAGCTGACTGCCTTAGGCAGCGGTGCTGATGGTGAGCTGAGTGCCAAGTTGCAGTGGCGCACCAACCCCGCGCAGCTCAACAATCCCGCGCAGCTCTCGCCCCGAGCCAGCACCCAGCACTGTGTCTTCAGCCCCTATTCCGAGTCCCGATATGATGTGTCTTGTGGGGCAACATATCATATGGGGACTTCCAGCGAGGCAAAATGGCGGGCGCCAAGGCAGCGGCCAGCTCCTGAAGCCAGCCAGAGCCAACTGCGCTACCAGGATGGCTCCGGGCTGCTGAGGCTGCTGCTGCCACATTTCCTCGGGGACATTAGATGAAATCCGGGGACATTCCGGGGAATGGAATTTGTCTGGGGACAAATTTGCAAATCCGGGGACCGCCCCTGGGAAACGGGGATGTCTGGTAACCCTAGGCTAGAGGGGAAGGGTGGAGATACTGGTCAGTTTCAGCAGTGTCTCAGCTGGATGAACCAGAGGACTCTGCTTTGCTGTTGTTTTCTGTTAATAAAGAGTGAATTGCATTCTGTGCCTGCCATGTGTACGCTTCCCTGTGCTTGACCCGGCTCTTCTGACGGCTCCTTGACACTAAGGATTGAACCGTAGCTGAGTGGAATGTGCTCTTCAACTCTAACAATACCTCTTCCTTGCCCATATAGAGATGGGTGTATGAATGTGGGTAGAAACCTGCCTAGAGGTAAAGGTAAAGGTACCCCTGCCCGTACGGGCCAGTCTTGACAGACTCTAGGGTTGTGCGCTCATCTCACTCTAGAGGCCGGGGGCCAGCGCTGTCCGCAGACACTTCCGGGTCATGTGGCCAGCGTGACAAAGCTGCTCTGGTGGACCAGCACCAGAGCAGCACACGGAAATGCCTTTTACCTTCCCGCTATAAAGCGGTCCCTATTTATCTACTTGCACTTAAGGGTGCTTTCGAACTGCTAGGTGGGCAGGAGCAGGGACCGAGCAACGGGAGCTCACCTCGTCACGGGGATTCGAACCGCTGACCATGCGATCGGCAAGTCCTAGGCGCTGAGGTTTTACCCACAGTGCCACCCGCGTCCCATAGAAACCTGCCTACTATACTAACTACTACTACTACTACTACTACTACTAATTTATTATTTATTTATACCCCGCCCATCTGGCTGAGTTTCCCCAGCCACTCTGGGCAGCTCCCAATTGAGTGTTAAAAACAATACAGCATTAAATATTAAAAACTTCCCTAAACAGGGTGCCTTCAGAAGTCTTTAAAAGTCTGGTAGTTGTTTTTCTCTTTGACATCTGATGGGAGGGCATTCCACAGGCGGATGTCACTACCGAGAAAGGCCCTCTGTCTGGTTCCCTGTAACCTCACTTCTTGCAATGAGGGAACCGCCAGAAGGCCCTGGGAGCTGGACCTCAGTGTCTGGGCTGAATGATTGGGGTGGAGACGCTCCTTCAGGTATACTGGACCAAGGCCGTTTAGGGCTTTAAAGGTCAGCACCAACACTTTGCATTGTGCTCGGAAACGTACTGGGAGCCAATGCAGATCTCTCAGAACTGGTGTTGTGTGGTCCCGGTGGCCACTCCCAGTCACCAGTCTAGCTGCCGCATTCTGGATTAATTACAGTTTCTGGGTCACCTTCAAAGGTAGCCCCATGTAGAGCGCAAAGGTAAAGTTAGCAGGCATTGCTCTGCCTCTGACCCCACCCACCTTTGGCACATGACCTCCAGAAGCCTTCCCAGGAAGGAATATGGCCCTTGGCCTGGCAACTCCCCCACTTCCCCTGTAAAAAGTGTTGGCGAAAGAGCAGTCGCCAAGACTTCCACTGTGGTGGTTCCTCATCTCCCTCTCTGCGTCTTCTCCCATCTCCCACCATCCAGGCATTGTCTACAACGTGGCTGTGGTGACTGGGGACATCAGAGGGGCTGGCACAACTCCAAAATCCATATGGTCATGCACGGCTCCAAAGGGCTGAAGAACAGCGGGAAGGTCTTCCTGGAAGGAGGCGAGTTCGAGCGTGCCAGGACCGATCTTTTCAACGTGGAGATAGCTGCTCTCCTGAGTCCCTTGAGCCGCGTCTCAATTGGACACGACAATGCAGGTGTCGGCTGCGGCTGGTACTGCGAGAAGGTGAGGATGGGTCACTTCAAGCCTTTGGACAGCTGTCCAGTCACTTTCCCCCTATTTGTGGTCTGACCAGAGTGACTTGGAAGGCTTTCAGCTCTTGTTTCAGTGATGCTGCTGTCAGGTTAGCCAGTCGATACAATGCAATAATGCGTCCCGCAAATCTGATTTCGCCTAATATATGCCATGCGGCACTGAAACTTATGCAGAAATCAATTGCGTGCTCATTAAGCGCCAGGGCTGCTCTGCAGTTGCAAGATTGGGGGACGGCATTCCCTCTCCACCTTTTCAGTCACTCTTACAGTTGTGCAGAAGGGATGTGGAGGTCATTTGTGGCAGGTTTGCCTTAATTTCTAGGGAGAGGCAGCAGATTCCGGATCAAACCCAAGAGCTGTGTCATCCTTGCGATTTGTGGACATTGCGGTTTTGCAGTTCAGTTATATATAATAATAATAATTTATTATTTATACCCCGCCCATCTGGCTGGGTTTCCCCAGCCACTCTGGTCGGCTTCCAACCGAATATTAAAAACAATACAGCACCAGATATTAAAAACGTCCCTCAACAGGGCCGCCTTCAGTTGGCTTTTAAATGTAAAATAGTTGTTTATTGCCTTGACATCTGCTGGGAGGGCGTTCCATGGGGCAGGTGCCACCACCGAGAAGGCCCTCTGCCTGGTTTCCTGTAACCTCACTTCTCGCAGCGAGGGAACCGCCATAAGGCCCTCAGCACTGGACCTCAGCATTGGGCTGGATGAGGGGGATGGAGACGCTTCCTTCAGGTATACTGGACCGAGGCTGTTTAGGGCTTTAAAGGTCAGCACCAACACTTTGAACTGTGCTTGGAAGGGGTGGGAGGAACAGGAGAGGGATGAGTGGCTTGTTTTAGGAAGGAGGGGGGTGATGTGATAGCCAACTCCAAATATTTGAAGGAATAGAGACAATGGATAAATTCAATTCAGTCCGCATTTGTAGGCTAACCTAACTAATTAGCATTTCCTGAAATCATGTGGCAACCAAAACACAGCCATCCTTTGAAAATTTGCACCTCTCTGAATTTTGGAGTGACGTTCTCCAGCCAAGTAGAGTGTCCATAAAAATGCATTGTTTCGGGGGATATTTCATGGCAAAAATGTGTATGCTAGGGAAAATTGTATGAGGAGAAATTTTGCACTAATGTCAATGCCCATTAACTTTGGGCCCCCTCAAATGTTTTATTGGGGAGACTGAAGGGACCTTGGCCCCTGGGAGTTGGCTCCTATGTGTTTGTGAATGCATTATGTCTCACTAGGAGGGTGTGGGCAATAGAAAAACGGATGGTCTATTCCGGCGCTCCCTTTCCCCTTCCAGGTGGTGGTGTATTGCCCATTTACCGGTATCGAACAGACCTTCCCGTGTGGGAAGTGGCTGGATGAGGATGACGGTGATGGACTGGTGGAACGGGAGCTGTACGAAATGGTCTCGCTGCGTAAGAAGAGACTGAAAAGTAAGTGCGAAAGAGCAAAGCTTGAAGGGCATCCATCATTATTTGAAAACCCTCCTGCCCTTGGGAGCACTCAGGGTTGTTTTTTTCTGCTGACAGTTCTTTCTTGGTACAGAGAACCAAAAATTCGTCTTCTTCTTTTTCCTCCTATGGCAGCCATTTTATATTGGCATCCACAGCAGTGTTGTCAATATGTGAGTCCTGGCACCTCCTATTTTTTACCGGGGGGGGGGGGGAGCCGCTGGTCTGAGTAAAAAAAAAAGTCAAAAAATGGCCTTTTTAGTTTAGAGATAATGTGAGTAAGAGTTGACAAGCTACGACTTTATAAAATCATGTGTGACATGGAGGAAGTGGAGAGAGAAAAGGTTTTCTCCCCCTTCCATGACACTAGAACACCTGAACATCTCAGGAAGCTGGATGTTGCAAGATTCAGGACAGATGAAAGAAAATACTTCTTCACGCCTCATGCAGTTAAACTCTAGCCTGATTAGACTTTACCGACTGGTGGGGTCTGCGTTGCTCCCGGGAGGGAGAAAGGAAGTCAAATGACACCGAGGTTGCTTCAGAGAAAGAGTTTATTCTGCTCTCCGGATAGCAGAAGGCACTTGCGTGGTCAGTTCACAGCAAGTCCAAAGAAATGATAAATTTCATGCAGTATATATATCCTCCAGGCACCCTCTCCCTCCTTCCCCAGCAATCCAGCCACGTCAGCTTATACACACAGGTTGACATCACATATGTTCCTGCTCCAGTACTCTTAACCATAAAAGGGTTTTCCTCTTCCTATACTCTTGACCATAAAAGGTTGTTCCTGTTCCTATACTCTTATCTTGGGGCAGGAGGTCACCAACTCCTGGCGCCGTTCCCGGGTCTCTTGTCAGACTTGACAAGGTCTGTGCGTCTTTGTGGTCAGGATGTAAGATAAGACCCAGACGCGTCATCCCTGCTCTACTGGAACTGGCAAGGGCACTCATTGCCGTCACGGACTGATAAGGGAGATAGCTTTGAGCACTTGTTTATACAGCTGGGTTTTGGCTCAAGAGCTCAGGTTAGAGCATTTTAGAAATGCTTCCTTGGAGGAGGAAAAATGGGGATTTTGGGTCAGTTTCAAACTGACTGCACAGAAACCCATTCCTTCCCCCTTCAAAACTATGGAACTCTCTGCCACATGAGTGATAGCCATCAGTGCTCAAGTGCCCAACCTGCTAAATAGAAGATTCCAAGTATGTTCTCAATCCCCGCTGGCTCCAGGGTGTCTGCTGTCCTCCAGATCCTTTGGGGACAAATTGCTGCATAAGGTTCATAACTGGCGGGGAGAATTTACATTGTCCCTCCTCCAGTCCACATCACATCAGTGCAATGAATGCTTATAAAATTAGTTAAGGGGCTGCATGATCAAGACGCCTCTGTGATGAACGGTTTGTCCCGTTTAAGGAGCGATTCCATTGCAGCCGCGCTCATTACAGCGAACATCGCTTAATGTGACAGCCACTTTATCTCTGCAGCGCAGTCCATTCTGCGAAAGCATTTATGACCTTTAAACTGCCATATTATCGACCCTGACTGCTATTGACAGCGTAATCCCTTTGTGGATGTTGTATATTAAACGGGGAGGAAGCAGTGCCCTTGAGTAATTGGTGACCTTTCGCTGCCATACAACGGGATAAACTTGTATTGTCATCTCCCTCGCCTGCTTCGGAAAGGATATGCTTTCTCGCTCAGGATTTTTCCTCAAACTGGTGGTGTGTTGCCATGAAGAGTGCTGAATATTTGCACAGTTGTTGCCAGTCATCATAGCCGTGCGTATCTGCAACTTTTCTCCGGTGACCTCAGGGCAGGCATTCTCAAACTCGGCCCTCCAGATGTTTTGGGACTACAATCCCCATCATCCCTGACCACTGGTCCTGTTAGCTAGGGATGATGGGAGTTGTAGTCCCAAAAACATTTGGATGGCTGAGTTTGGGGGTGCCTGCCTCAGGGTGATGTATATGGGCTACCCTGCTTTATCCTCACAATAACCCCATGAGGTAGGGACTGTACCACCATTTCAGGGCCCCTCCAGCCTATTATTATTATTATTATTATTATTATTATTATTATTATTAATTGGTGTAAGAAGAGAAGGGGCGATCTCCCCTTTGGCTAGATGCTCCCCCCTAAAAAAAGGGCAGTAATTTCCAGCACCTCTTTTTCTAGAAAAAACTCCCTGTGCCTGACACACTATATATGCAAGGATTTCTCTCGTTTTTTTTCTATGGGGAAACATTCCATCTTGTGAGTCTTAAGTAGTAAAGATCAGACCCCGGTTGACACCTTAGTGAGGAGCGTTCCTCAGAGAGCTTTATAGTTGAGCCAGGATTTGACACTGGCTGTCTGCTGGCAGTCATGGCTTTTGGGTGGGATTTTGAGGCAGAAGATCAGGGCCCTACTCAGCAAAAATGAATGGGAGGGACCCTAAACACAGCAGGACTGGATTTTCACTTTTAAAAGTAACCCACATTACTATGTAAAGTCATGTCCCCCCTCTGCAATGAGACCATTAAGTCCAGTGTCTTAACTCACCAGTTACCTGACTGCACACTTGCTCCCAGGTCCAGACTCACAACATTACAGTCCACTTGGTGAAAGTGCCGTGTTGCATGAGATCAGACCCTTTCGCTCTTGGGAGTCAAGGGAAATTCACATACGCAAGTGGAAGCAATGGATTGGGGTTAGCATGAGTGCGATGTTGAGCTGAAATGGAAGAGAAGGTTTTCATGGATTGTTTGCAAAGTGATTCACATTGCTGTATCTCCAGGCTATGAGAAGAGATTCCCCTGTTGAACATCTTCACAACATAACTGGTGTTCAAAGCACTGGGCATGTGCTTTATAAAAAAGGACCTCTCTATTCATGTCTGGTGGTTTGGTTTGGTTTGGTTTGGTTTCCTTCTTTGTTTTTCCTTTATCACCAGCTTTCACTATTCTAATTCAGTGATTCAGAACCTTTTGTTTTATAAGAAAACCCTTGGTCCCTGTGGATTTGGACAAGTGATATTAAGGGCGCAGGGACAGACGCCCCCATCTTCCTCCAGGTTTACGGTGACAAAGGAAAGTCCGACGAAATGAAGCTGGACAATAACTCTGATAACTTTGAAGCTGGACAAACGGACAAATTCATGGTATGCCTTCCTGTCCGCCACGTGTGCTCCAAACAGACTTGTGTTTACTGCCGTGTTAACCTGGGAATCAGCCCAGACGCTTCCTGTTTGCAGTTAGTGCTGGTTAAATGGCACAGAAGAATAGCCAGTCAATTCCTTGTGGTTTATGTGAAAGGGTTTAATAGCCCTTATAAAAGGAAGGAAATAGCAAACTCATTGGAGATGTCAGCTATGTTGGCGCTTCATTGACTCAGAATGCTGAACGTGTGACAAATTCTTCCCTTAAATACAAGGTGAAAATTATGATGCCTGCGTTCTTCTCTGGTTCAGATTTAATCTGAACCGGAGAAGAATCGTGCCCCTTGTTGTTCTTGTGCAACAAGCTTTTGGCTCCACCAAAGCTTGCACAGAAAATGCCCCTAATGGATTTTGCTGTTCTTGTGCATCTCCAGTTTTATTTCCCCCGGGGGCCTGATCTTCCCCCAGATTGTGCCTGTAGTAGAAAAAGGCCACCACTGATGTGTTTTACGCATGTTTCCTGCAGATTGAGCTCCCAGATCTGGGCAATTTGTACAAGATCCGGATATGGCACGAGAAGAGGAGCCCATTTGCTGGCTGGCATCTACATAAGGTAAAAAGCCAGCAGGAGAGATTGCACTATGGGGGCAAGATCAATCCCCTGTGATAAGCAAGAGCTTATTGTTTCCATGCACTTGTGTCCTTATCTAACGCTTGAACACTGACATGTGGCTGGGGCAACCCAGCCAGATGGGCAGGATAAAAATTATATCATCATCATCATCCTTATCATTATTTGCATGCTTGGTTTACAGTGAAACTAATGAATCTTAACCTTCAGGGCTCCTAATCCTGGAGGGACTTTAGTACACACTGCTTAAAAATATTGGGTTTAGCCAGTGGTGTAGCATGTTAGTCAGTGGTGTAGCATGGGTTGCTGATGCCTGGTGTGAGGAAAGTGTTGCACTCCCCTGGTGGACTGAGCAGCTGGGGTGGGGACACATGCAGAGGATGAACAGAGCCTGCCTCCATCAGCCTCCTCTACCGCTGCCTCAATCCACCTGCTTACTAAACCAACCCGCCTGCTGCCGTGCCTCAACTGCCAGGGCTCCGTGCCTGATTGCACCTCCTCAAAAATGTGTACTCGGGGCCACGGCCCCCTGGCTACACCTCTGGGTCTAGTAGACCCAATTTGAGCCACAGCAACTTTTTGTTGTACATATTTCAATAGTCCCATAGTCTGAGAGTCAGTAGCACAGATGTTGTTAAGGTGTAGTGATTGGTCATGGAACAACCCCATTGAAGAAGATAACAGCGGTTACCCAGACCCCATTGCTGGTAGTGAAGGGGCTCCCATGACAGTTCAAGCTTCAGGGCCCCCAAAATGTAGGTCTGCCATGGAACCATGCTGACTTACCTGCTGAGGAGACCCTGAGGAACCACCATGGAACTCCTCTGTGCTGCAAAATGTTATTCCTTGGGTTTATTATAGGGTGAACACTTGATTCAGAATGTGTTGGGCCTCCCTCCCTGTACTCTGATGGTGCTTTCTAAGGCACACCCAAGAGTTCTCTGTAGCTCTAAGTTGCAGGGGGAAGATTGGCAGCAGAAGGACCATGATGATCTTTTCATAGGGCAGAGGTGGCTAGCCTTGGCAAATTGGCACCAGCCATTTGGTTTTCACCTACTTCATAGCAATCGCCACAACGTTGTGAGGTTAGGCATTGGGTAAGCCTTTGTTTGGCTGGAGGGGAGGTTGTAGCCTTCGTCTGCCTCTACTCATTAAGGGTATCCTGTTAATGTGGGAATGTTTAGGGATGTGGGGGACGATATATTGTCTAAGACAGTGTTTCCCAACCGGTGTTCCGCGGCACACTAGTGTGCCGCGAGACGTTGCCTGGTGTGCCGTGGGAGGGAGGCGGGCGAGTCGGGCGGCGAGAGGCGGGGCGGCGGCGGCGAGGATCCGCGTCGAGCCGGGGGCGGCTCCGCGGTGGTGGTGCCGAGGTTTCTCTCTCCATTCTCCCCTCACACACACACACAGGAAATAACACAGGATCAGCTGACAGGACCCGGCCAATGGGGCGGCGGCGGGGCAGCGCGCGCAAAAGGGAGGAGCGCGAGACAGCGGACGAGGAGGAGGCCGGCATGTCCGGGCAGCAGCAGCAACAACAGCAGCAGTAACTCCCGGCGACGGCTCCTCAAGCCCCGGGCAACCCTACTCCCTCACCGGCCTCGGCCGCCCTCCTGCTCCACCCGCCGCCGCCTCCCCCGCCGCCGCCGGCCACCTCGGCCCCGCCGCCGCCCCCTCCTCCGCCCGCTATCGCCGCCACCACCACAACAGCCGCCGCCGCCTCAGCTGGGCCCATGCCTGCCGGGAGCGGCGGCGGCAGCAGCAGCAGCAGCGCCCCGGCGCCCTTCCCTCCCGGCGTGACGCTGCGCGCTGACGTCACGGGGTGCCTCAAGATTTTTTTCATCAAACAAGTGTGCCTTTGCCCAAAAAAGGTTGGGAAACACTGGTCTAAGATATCCTATCCCAACTTGTCTTTACAAGTTCAACAAAATCAGCAGAGTTAACATTCCCCTTTTATTTAAACACACGCGCAGCAGATAGCTTGCTCAGACTCGTTAGAGTCTCTGCAAATATTTCCTGGTATTTTCCCCGTTTAATCCCTCCTAAAATAAGACACTGCACAGTCTTCTGTAAACTATAAAACATTTACTCACAAGTAACCATCTGGTCACACAAAGGTTCCCAGAAGGCATACTTAAAAGGTCAGAACATAGTTTAAATGTGGTGACTATCTCCTTATGGGAGAAAGCCCCCCCCCCTTTTTTCTCTTGGCCTGGAGCCAAGGGTGCATTTTAGTAGTGCTGTCGTTAAGATGGCATCGATAGAGACAAGAGAGACAAGATGGTCGCCAGTCTGTAGTTTTGGTTCTTTCTACTTCAGGAGAGGCCACACCCATCTCAAGTTACACATAGGAAGTTTTGTCTCTGTCCTGGAAAGCAGGAAGTTCCAGCTGGAGGACTGACATAACCTTCATGTTTACTCTAGCCATGTTTTGTTTGACTGCACCTGATTCTTACACCCCCACAGTTAAAGGGATCGAGGGGGAGTGGCTTCTCTCCAATGCCCTGATGGGGGCTAGGGCCATACCATTCCCCCAATGGGGACGCCTCCGGGGGTACCCCTATTTGATGTAGGTCATAGAATTCCTCCAAATGATGGATTGCTCATAGATGCAACTCCCAGCAAATGGACTGGAGTGATATAGTCTGGCTTCACCCACTTCCTGGCCCAAACCACTCACATCTGTAACCAGTGAAGTTGTGGCCTATTTGAATCCATAAACCAAATACTGTCGGTCTCTGCGTGTATTCATCCCCCAGGGAATTGCAGGTCATGGGGACTTGGCACACTGTTTGCTTCTTTTAGTCAATCAGAGGGTGGGGCAAAATGCTTGTGTAGGACTCTGTTGTCCCACCATTGGACAGTTGGGTGGATATCCTGCTCAGCTCATTGCCCAGCTTCTGAGATATCATTGCTCAACATCACCCAGCCACCTTAAGCATGCCTTCACAAGCATGAGAACTGGAAACTATTTTTCCTAAAAGCCAAAACTAAATTCTCAGATTTATTCATTATGCTCCCATTATCAAATGTTCTTGCTGCAGAGCGCTGTGTCTTCCTATATGGAAGTCATATTTTGGATAACGGGACATGGGTGGTGCAGTGGTCTAAACCACTGAGCCTAGGGCTTGCTGATCAGAAGGTCGGCGGTTCGAATCCCCATGACGACGATGAGCTCCCGTTGCTCTGTCCTAGCTCCTGCCAAACTAGCAATTTGAAAGCATGCCAGTGCAAGTAGATAAATAGGTACTGTTGTGGCGGGGAAGGTAAACGGTGTTTCCGTGCACTGCTCTGGTTTCCGTCACAGTGTTCCGTCGAGCCAGAAGTGCTTTTGTCCTGTTGGCCACATGACCCGGAAAGCTGTCTGCGGACAAACGCTGGCTCCCTTGGCCTGAAAAGTGAGATGAGTGCTGCACCCCATAGTTGCCTTTGACTGGACTTAGCTGTCCAGGGGTCTTTTACTTTTACCTTTTGGGATAGCACTGAACAAACACTAGAAACGTCTTTCTTTTGCTGTGCAGGCGTGTACAACAACAATACCAACTCACCATTTACCTTTTTTATTTAAAAAGAAAGAAAAAGAAAATAAGGCCACATTGTTAATAGACCTTGGCTTTTGAGCCTCTAATATGATATGATAGGTTTCTGCCTTCTTTTGCGCTGCACAGATGTTTAGAGGATCTAGCTGGGAGTTAGTAAACCATGAAGCATTGCGGATGCACGTTGGTTCCCAATATTCATCCACGCAGTCATTCTGGCCTCATTAGTCCTCGTTTGCTGTCGCTTCCACTCCTGGAGGAAAGGTTGATGCCTAGCTGCAAAAGAGTCCCTTGTTCATTCTCTAGTGAGATGATTGCTAATGAGGCTGCGATGTTTAGTTGATTAATCTCTTAGATTAATCAGTTTTAAAAACCTTTTTGCAGCACAGTCTTAAGCATGTCGCTTGGAAAAGAAGCAACTACTTCTGTGTTCAGTACTGTGTGATAAGTGTGGTCAGGATGACAACTTTACCTCACAATCATATATGTGTCTAGGTAAAGGTAAAGGGACCCCTGACCATTAGGTCCAGTTGTGACCGACTCTGGGGTTGTGCGCTCATCTCGCTCTATAGGCTGAGGGAGCCGGTGTACAGCTTCTGGGTCATGTGGCCAGCATGACTAAGCCACTTCTGGTGAACCAGAGCAGCGCACAGAAATGCTGTTTACCTTCCCGCCGGAGTGGTACCTATTTATCTACTTGCACTTTGATGTGCTTTCGAACTGCTAGGTTGGCAGGAGCAGGGACGAGCAACGGGAGCTCACCCCGTCGCGGGGATTCGAACCGCCGACCTTCTGATCGGCAAGTCCTAAGCTCTGTGGTTTAACCCACAGCGCCACCCACATCCCTTTTATATGTGTCTATTGAGGTGTAAATTCTCAAACTAGGATTGGGCAATATCTGGAGGAGACAGTTTGGAGGAGAAAAGCAGATGGGGGAGGTGCTTAACCCCAACCCAGCACGCCATTTCCCACACTCCCTCCCCACAGCTGCTTCCATAAATCCGCTCCACTTCCCAGTGGGAAGGAGTTGTAGTGGACCGCGTGGCCACCCACTCCCCACCGGGGGCGGGGGACTTTGTTCCCCGTTGCCGGGGGATCCTGGCCACATCAGAGCCCAGCCAGCCAATCCGCTGGCTGGGGGTGCGTAGCCGGGGCCGTTTAAACTGAGGAGCGAACCAGAGGACTTCCTCTTTGGCTCGCTTCCTCAATCACCCACCCTCTCTCCCTATTTTGCAGGTTAGGCAATGGCCTTGCTATGGACTTCGGTTGGTCGCCTTGGTTGTCCGAGGGGCCTGGTAGGAATTTTTCTAAAATCGGCACTGGCCATTTGGTTTTCGCCTACCTTGTAGCAATTGTCACAACTTTGTTAGGGTTGCGGTTAGGCATTGTTTGACCTTGTGTGGGGGAGGGGAGGGGTGGATTCCGTTAATGGAATCTGGGGGTGTTGATCTTGTCCGAAGCCCGGCTGGGGGCTAGAGCCTTGAGACAACCCCAACGGGAACACCAGGGGGAGCTTGAGTTAGTTTGCATCGACAGGGCTCCCCCTACCGGTGGCTTACCCTTACCGGACTTCCTGCACAGTGGGCAGGAGTCAGATATAGTCAGGTCCAATCAATGCCTAAGCCAATACCGCTCACGGTCTGTAATTCAATAAAGTTGTCGCCAAAATTTGCCCAATAACACAAACCTAATATCTTGTGTGAGTTATTTCCAATGAGGGGGTGGCTGTGGGGTCTCGACACGCAACCCCCTGTCTGAGGTTCCAAACGCAACTGGTGAGCAGCTTGGCCCAGGTTTTCCACAGCATAAGCAAATTCAAAAAAAATATGCTGTTATATGTCTGTACTTATGGGTACACCTCCTTTTGTATTCTGGGGGAAGAAAAAGAACAACAGGTTATTTAGCTAGCTGAATTTCAAGGTTAATAGAGGCCTCGTCTGGAGGAAATAAAATAACTGAACCATCTTATTAATCAACACTCATTTCCTCCACCTTACAAAGGGACACGACTCCAGCATGTTTGGTAAATTGCATTTTTCCCCCCTACTCCAGTTTCCACCCTCCTTCTTTCATTCACGTTGAACTTATTCAACATTTTGGTTCAATTTGGGTTTAATTAAAGGTAACCCTTTTGAAAACCCTGACGAAAGAGAAGTACACATTCAACTGTGACCGCTGGCTGGATAGCAACGAGGACGACAACGAGATTGTGCGGGAGCTAACAGCCGAAGGCCCACAGGTGGCTGAAGTGAAGCCAGGTGAGAAGAAAGAGGACCTCCATGGGGGCGTGCATTTGGGTAGCAATTAATCTCTCTCCCCCCCCTCATTGGTACTGTATCTCCTGCAGACACCATTAACAGGCTGAATGGCTGCAAAATTTAATTATGAAGTTGTTGGGTTTTTAAAAAATAAAAAACCCAGCTCTTTCTGGAGACGTCCTTGTTCCTTCTGCTGGGTCATGGGAAATGTTAGGGGCTTAGCAGTATAGTCATTTGGGCTACACCTTCTTGGTGTCTTGAGTTCCTTTGGAGAAAGCTGTGAAAAAATGAGATAATTTGGGCACAGTCTAACCCCCTTATCTGACCTCCTGAATCGGGGATGGATGCACCCGGCCCAGAACTAGCGTCCGCCAGGGCAGAGCTCCCCATTCTGCCATCCAAAAGTGGAGGTGAGAGCAAATCCAGTATGACTGCGTCTTTGTTGTTGTTGTTTAGTCGTTTAGTCGTGTCCGACTCTTCGTGACCCCCTGGACCAGAGCATGCCAGGCACTCCTGTCTTCCACTGCCTCCCATAGTTGGTCAAACTCATGTTGGTAGCTTCGAGAATACTGTCCCACCATCTCATCCTCTGTCATCACCTTCTCCTTGTGCCCTCAATCTTTCCCAACATCAGGGTCTTTTCCAGGGAGTCTTCTCTTCTCATAAGGAGGCCAAAGTATTGGAGCCTTAGCTTCAGAATCTGTCCTTCCAGTGAGCACTCAGGGCTGATTTCCTTAAGAATGGATAGGTTTGATCTTCTTGCAGTCCATGGGACTCTCAAATGTCTCCTCCAGCACCATAATTCAGAAAATCAATTCTTCGGTGATCAGCCTTCTTTATGGTCCAGCTCTCACTTCCATACATCACTACTGGGAAAACCATAGCTTTTAGTATATGGACCTTTGTCGGCAAGGTGATGTCTCTGCTTTTGAAGATGCTGTCTAGGTTTGTCATCGCTTTTCTCCCAAGAAGCAGGCATCTTAGGCGCATTTAATTTGAGCAGTTTTAACTAGACATGGTTGAAGGCAGGCTGGTTGAAGTAGCACAAGTTAAACTGAAGCAAGGCTTGCAAACCCCTTCTGTGCCAGTTCCTCTTGGGGGTAAAGGTAAAGGGACCCCTGACCATTAGGTCCAGTCACGGACGACGCTGGGGTTGTGGCACTCATCTCGCTTTATTTCCCGAGGGAGCTGGCATACAACTTCTGGGTCATGTGGCCAGTATGACTAAGCCGCTTCTGGTGAACCAGAGCAGCGCACGGAAACGCCGTTTACCTTCCCGCCAGAGTGGTACCTATTTATCTACTTGCACTTTGACGTGCTTTCGAACTGCTAGGTTGGCATGAGCAGGGACCGAGCAACAGGAGCTCACCCCGTCGCGGGGATTCGAACCGCCAACCTTCTGATCGGCAAACCCTAGGCTCTGTGTTTTAACCCACAGCGCCACCTGTGTTGTGCCAGTTCCTTTTTGGGGGTAACCCAGCACAAAAATAGCTTTAAAGCTCTCCGCCTTGCTTTGGGGTTTCAGGGTCCAACTCTGTGTTACAAAGAGGTCCGCAAACATGACATGAAGGCTGGCAACATCAACCCCACTGTGTGGGAACCCCTTGCAGACAACCACTGGCCTGGAGACAGGCAGTCAGGTCACGTATCCTTAGCAGAGTGACCAGAGGAGAAATGACCCCTGGGAGAAGTGCGGTGAGATATATAGTTCTCTATCTAGCACCATATTGCTTACACTGGGGTGTGTGGTGTGTTGGGGGTGGTAGTACCTCTGGTGGTAGGCACATTGTGCTCCTTCTGGGTAGTTTGTCCACCTTTGGTCCCCATCTGTCAGGCTTCGAGGAATCTTACCCTCCCCCAGTGACAGCAAGAAGCAGAGAAAAACAAAGAGGACTTCTTACTTATGAGTTTATTCAATCATCTCAGAGAGACAAAGGAATGCAGTCTGCCTCCCATTAATGACGTTGCTCCAACTGAGCTCCTCCCACTTCTCTTCCTACCAAGAGCACTTCCCCTTATGGTGGCCACCAGGGGCTAATTGGCTCTGAGTCCTTTGCTCTTACATTCTCAATGAATGCTGGGTTGTGGGAGAAGGGGGGTCAGAAATGCTCTCCAGTGATAACGCGTCAGCTGGCTGCTCTGTCTCCATCTCTGCCTTATCTTCTCCCAACACCTCCCAACTCTTCTGTTCGCCTGTCTCTGAGCTGTGACCTTCCTCAAACCACTGCTGTAACTCAATACTGCCTTCCTCTTCTCTGGAAGCTTCAAGGGAAGGGAGGGGGTGATCTCCACCATTCCTCCCCAGTCTCGTCCCCCTCAGTCCACTCCCTGACACCACCCTGCACTCAGCTCTCATCTGTGGCTCCTATAAATTGTCATTATGCTACAGTGACCACACCCTGGGTATGCCTTCAACTGACCAGCTAAACAAGGTGAGGGCAGGTGATGGGTTCCAAATCCTCAATGAGTTAGGGACTTCCCTTGTATGCAAAGACAGGCTCTAACAGATTAGGCAGATGAGACCAATATTGGGTCCAATGGTCAAGAATGGAGGGCCTTCTCAGTGGTGGCGCCTGTCCTGTGGAACACCCTCCCATCAGATATCAAGGAGATAAACAACTATCTAACTTTTAGAAGATATCTGAAGGCAGCCCTGTTTAGGGAAGTTATAAGTGTTTGAAGTTTTATTCTGTTTTTAGTGTTGTGTTGGGAGCCGCCCAGAGTGGCTGGGGAAACCCAGCCAGATGAGCGGGGTATAAATAATAATAATAATAATAATAATAATAATAATAATAATAATAACCATATTTTTTCGCTTTATATTCTGAACAGTGGATGTATGATTTTTGTGGTTCATGCTGTGGCCACAGACCTGATATGTGATTTGACAGTGAGTTTGGGGTAGCCCAATGCAAAAATCCTGAGGATCCATGTGGATCCGTGCTTTGTAACCATATTTTTGCACCATTGTGTCACCACGAAACAGTGGATATGTGTGTTTTTTGGTGCATGCTGTAGCCATGGACATGCTATGTGATCCAATGGTGAATTTGGGGCGACCCAATGCAAAAATCCTGAGGATCCATGGGCTTTTACCTCCCCCCTCCCAAGCAGCCTCCTTTATCGCTAGCCTCCCTTATCTCCCTCCCAATCGCTTGCCGATTAGCTGCTTCCTTTCAACACCCCCTTCCCTCTTGTTTGCCTTAGTGTCTTTTCCTTAGCTGGAACAGTTTTTTGCTCCTCCTTTTCTTCTAATTTCTCTCCTCATTGCTTGTTTTTAGTATTCCTGTCTCCTCTCCTTGCAAGTTCGCTGTCTTTGCCACCTCCCCTTCCCAGGCAGCCTCCTTTACCAGCTGCCTTACCTCCCTCCGATCGCTTGCCGATCAGCGGCTTTGTTTCAACACCCACTTACCTCTTTCTTAAAAAAAAAGGGGGGGAGCACAATCTGCTTTTCACCCCAGGGCAATTTGGCTCCAGGGACCATGCATTCGCTCCATAAGACGCACAGACATTTCCCCTTACTTTTTAGGAGGAAAAAAGTGTGTCTTATGGATAGAAAAATATGGTATTATTATTATTATTATTATTATTATTATTATTATTATTATTATTATTATGCGCCTTCTGCCCATGCTGTAGAGGGAAGTGAGGGGCAGGTGGGGCTTGTTAACCTGAGAAGGTAGCCCATCTAGGAGAAGGAAAACTGATTCTAAACCTCGGCTGCCTTGCGGGATATCTTTGGGAGAAGACAAGGCTATGGAGTAAACCCTATACACATCCAGAGTGGAGTCCCTAAGATGGTGAGATGGCCATTGTCTCTTGAGACAGACAAATGCCAACAACAACAAATCAAATTGCCTATGGTGACCAGCAGTGGCTCTGCCCTACCTAGAGATCTTGTGGATTGAACCAGTGCTGCACCACCGAGCTGTGGTCTTCCCCTTAAACGCAGCTCTGCTGATCCAGTGTGGAGCTACCTATGAAGGTGACCCAGAAACTGCAATTAATCCAGAATGCGGCAGCTAGAATGGTGACTGGGAGTGGCCGTTGGGACCACATAACACCGGTCCTGAAAGATCTGCATTGGCTCCCAGTACGTTTCTGAGCACAATTCAAAGAGTTGATGCTGACCTTTAAAGCCCTAAACGGCCTCGGTCCAGTATACCTGAAGGAGCGTCTCCACCTCCATCATTCAGCCCGGACACTGAGATCCAGCGCCGAGGGCCTTCTGGCAGTTCCCTCATTGCAAGAAGTGAGGTTACAGGGAACCAGACAGAGGGCCTTCGCGGTAGTGGCGCCCGCCCTGTGGAACGCCCTCCCTTCAGATGTGAAGGAAATAAGCAGCTATCTTCTCTTTAAAAGACATCTGAAGGCAGCCCTGTTTAGGGAAGTTTTTAATATTTAATGCTGTATTGTTTTTAACATTTGATTGGAAGCCGCCCAGAGTGGCTGTGGAAACTCAGCCAGATGGGCGGGGTATAAATAAATAAGTATTATTATTATTATTATTATTATGGACGCGGGTGGCACTGTGGGTTAAACCACAGAGCCTAGGACTTGCCGATCAGAAGGTTGGCGGTTCGAATCCCCACGACGGGGTGAGCTCCCATTCCTCGGTCCCTGCTCCTGCCAACAGCAGTTCGAAAGCATGTTAAAGTGCAAGTAGAGAAATAGGTACTGCTCCAGTGGGAAGGTAAACGGCGTTTCCTTGTGTTGCTCTGGTTCGCCAGAAGTGGCTTAGTCATCCTGGCCACATGACCCGGAAGCTGTCTGCGGACAAACGCCGGCTCCCTTGGCCTATAGAGCAAGATGAGTGCACAACCCCAGAGTCTGTCATGACTGGACCTAATGGTCAGGGGTCCCTTTACCTATTATTATTATTATTATTATTATTATTATTATTATTATTATTATTATACTTGTATATAGATATACATCATAATATGCATTGTAAAACATTGCTGCATCGTCTTAGTCAAACATAGCCTGGCACTCCATGGAAAATGAAGCTGGCCTAGTTTAAACTGCTACCGTCACACTGGTGTGTATCACGGATATGGCACAACCACCAATCAGCCTCGAGTGCTTCGGCCTGCAGTTGAATAAAAACAGAATTCAGGATTACAGTGGATCTGAGCCATCTCTGGCAGTACCTTCCTGCTCATTGATCAGTATGCAGAGGAGAGCTGTTCCCGAGAAGTTGTGCAAATGATTATAATTGCAAATGCTATGATTAACATGTCAACAAACCTTTGATGAAGTTTATTTTTAATCCGCTGTGTGAAGTGGCTGCGAGGAACAGTGCGTGTTCCCTGGCTGGGCTCTGCCGTTTGCCAACTGCATGGAGCAAAGGCCACGAGGAGCAAAGTTTGATGATGCTATTGCTTCTCCATTTCAGGAGCTGGCCACTTTGGTCCAATGCAGATGTCGCAAACTGTGATTTGCTAATCGGGAGCCAGCCTCAGGAGCACACGCTCACTTCCTCTAGCCCTCTCTAGTCAAAATCCCTGCTCCAATATGTTATCACACTTAGTGAAGGATGGAAGGAGCTGCCAATCTCTGTCTTAGAAGTCTTTTCCTGGAAGTAGTGTAGCAAAGCTAAACAGGAAGCCCTAGCTGATTTCTGAGGCAACAAGCATGCAAGGTGTTGGTGTTGACCTTTAAAGCCCTAAACGGCTTCGGCTCAGTATACCTGAAGGAGTGTCTCCACCCCATCATTCTGTCTGGACGCTGAGGTCCAGTGCCCAGGGACTTCTGGCGGTTCCCCCACTGCAAGAAGCAAAGCTACAGGGAACCAGGCAGAGGGCCTTCTCGCTAGTGGCGCCCGCCCTGTGGAACGCCCTCCCATCAGATGTCAAAGAGACAAACAACTACCTGACATTTAGAAAACATCTGAAGGCAGCTCTGTTCAGGGAAGTTTTTAATGTGTGACATTTTGATGTATTTTTAATCTTTGTTGAAAGCCACCCAGAGTCGCTGGGGAAACCCAGCCAGATGGATGGGGTACAAATATATTATTATTATTATTATTATTATTATTATTATTATTATTATTATTATTATCTCCAACCCCCTCAAAAGAGTTTTCACGCAACATAACCCTATATAAACTCATATGTCCAACAATGCAGGATAAATGTTGGCAATGTGGTAGTCATTATGCAGGTTGCTTACACATATTTGGGACTTGCCCAGTGTTTTCAAATTTACTGAGAGCCAGTGTGGTGTAGTGGTTAAGAAGCGGTGGACTCGTAATCTGGGGAACCGGGTTCGCGTCCCCGCTCCTCCACATGCAACTGCTGGGTGACCTTGGGCTAGACACACTTCTTTGAAGTCTCTCAGCCTCACTCACCTAACAGAGTGTTTGTTGTGGGGGAGGAAGGGAAAGGAGAATGTTAGCCGCTTTGAGACTCCTTAGGGTAGTGATAAAGCGGGATATCAAATCCAAACTCTTCTTCTCTTCTTCTCTTCTACTGGCATACTATCGAAAATTTTATTTCAGATCTGACTGTCTGTTGTTAAATGACTCCTTAATCCTTGAAGGGTACAGTCTTTGAGGATGATAAGTTAGATAATCCTCTAACTGTTGCCCACCATGGGTTGTTTTTTTAAGTCTTCAAATGGATACACAGTGAACGACCTTCTTATGGTTTTATATGATTTCTTTACACTGGATTTTATTTTTAGTTGCACAAGTCATGCAAATAGTTACATAAGTTATCTAACTTACACAAAGTAGCCGGCATCAAGATGAATAATGCATTATTTAGCAGAAACGAAACTGCAGCAGAAGGGAAACAGTGTTGATTGCGATGAATACAAATCAGAATGGAAAACACTGCCACCTTGCATCCCTACCCAAAGGCCATCAAGGAATTTTGCACCCACCTGCTCAATACTTCTCACATTCTTGAGTCAATTATTGCACTGAATTCTCAGGTTATCTAGCAACGTTTTGATAAAACAGGTGGTATAGCTTGTGCCCCCAAAGCAGCAAGTTTTTATGAGGCAGGCACAGAGCTCAACAATGTGTGCCTTACCGTTTGGAATCTTTGTTGGGTTTTCATATTTCTTGAAGTGCTGGTTGTATGAGAGACAATAATACATTGGCAGAATTGCCTGTGGGAACCACAGAACTGTGAAGCTTTGGAGTGACTGCTCTCCGCCACAGGGAAAGAGCTGTAGAAGAACCCCATTCCTGGACTTGTTTTTCTTTAATTCACAGCAAAATTCAAAGTGTTGGTGCTGACCTTTAAAGCCCTAAACGGCCTCGGCCCAGTATACCTGAAGGAGCGTCTCCACCCCCATCATTCTGCCCAGACACTGAGGTCCAGCGCCGAGGGCTTTCTGGAAGTTCCCTCACCGTGAGAAGTGAAGTTACAGGGAACCAGGCAGAGGGCCTTCTCGGTAGTGGTGCCCGCCCTGTGGAACGCCCTCCCACCAGATGTCAAAGAGATAAACATCTACCAGACTTTTAGAAGACATCTGAAGGCAGCCTTCTTTAGGGAAGGTTTTAAGGTTTAATAGATTATTGTATTTTAATATTCTGTTGGAAGCCACCCAGAGTAGCTGGGGAAACCCAGCCAGATGGGTGGGGTATAAATAAATAAATATAATAATAAAGGGACGCAGGTGGCGCTGTGGTTAAACCACAGAGCCTAGGACTTGCCGATCAGAAGTTCGGCGGTTCAAATCCACGCAATGGGGTGAGCTCCTGTTGCTCAGTCCCTGCTCCCGCCAACCTAGCAGTTCGAAAGCACAAAAAAAGTGCAAGTAGATAAATAGGTACTGCTCCGGCAGGAAGGCAAACGGCGTTTCCGTGTGCTGCTCTGGTTCGCCAGAAGTGGCTTAGTCATGCTGGTCACATGACCTGGAAGCTGTACGCCGGCTCCCTTGGCCAAGAAAGCAAGATGAGCACCGCAACCTCAGAGTTAGTCACAACTGGACCTAATGGTCAGGGGTCCCTTTACCTTTATTATTATTATTATTATTATTATTATTATTATTATTATTATTATTATTGGATTCCTTAACCTATGCCTTTGCAGTGAAAAAGTACCGGGTCGTTGTTCACACCGGGATGGTGAGTGGAAGCGGTACAGATGCCAACGTCTTCACTTGCCTCTATGGGGATCAGGGAGACACCGGAGACCGCGTCCTGCAGAACAGCGTGAACGCGATCAATAAATTTGAGAAGGGCAATGTAAGTCTGTCTGCCTGTTTAAGAAGACACCATGATATACTAGCTGTGGAAAGAGGGAGAGGGCCAGCCCAAATAATAGACATGAGGCCAGTTGTCCCAGGCAGATGCCAGCATTGGCAGGAATGTTGAGCAGTCAGTTCACAGGTGCCCGTGCCATGGCCTTTTTAAAGGATCACAGGGAGTAGCCTGGAATCTGGCTGCTCAGCTTTTTATCCCTTGTTCTAGCTGCCACCACTGGTGGTCATTGTCAAGTGACCGCAGGAGGTGCTGCCTAGTGGAAGGGAAGGTTTGCCATTTTACATGTGGAACAGAGCCTATTCCAGATGTGAGCGAGTGCATCGCTGATTGACGTAGGTGCCTTTTTCCAGCTGATGGGGGTACGTCTGCCGGGGGTAATGCCCCAAACCATTGTGTGGTCCTGCCTCCTCTTTTAGAAATGGCAGCCATTTTGTATTACGCCACCCACCCCCACATGTCAGCCATTTTGTGACTGGCGTGAACAGCACTTTGTCAGCAGTCCAAATGTGGCTCAAAAAGGCTTGCAATCCCCAAGTTATTTTACATAGTTAGATATTATTAGGAAGGGTGTGTACCATTTTAACATTCTGCCTCACATGCCAAAACTGTCCAGAGTCAGTTTTCTCCAAGCAGCTGGGACTGCACATTTTGCGGAGTGATTTAATTCATCTTCTACACAGTGGCGGCTCAGATATATAACAAAAGGGTTGCACTTTTATGCTACAAAACAAAACAAATCCGAAAGGGAACATCCCAAGCTGCTTATAAATAACTATAATGTAGTTTTTCTTTTGGGGAAGAGAATCCAGAAGGGCTGGAGGCAGAGAGCAATTCCCTGAAGAAGAATCCACCACAGCTCGAAACCTGCCGGACATTTAAAAAGAGACTATATTGAAGTTATTTATAAGCACCTTGAGATGTTCCCTTTTGTTTTCATGAGCTGTAAAACATGAGCCAGACCTGAAGTGCTCCCTCAGATTCCTTTTTCATCTCTGATGGGGGTTGTTGTCAGGAGATGTCTGAATCTTCTCTAAACAAGCCCTCGGTATGTACCTATTGCTGTTTCTCAAACTTAACTATATCAATGTTAGCAGCTTAAAAGAGTTTTAAGCAACACTGATTTGCATAACCATTTGTGTGTGTATATAACCACCAGTGGTGTAGCGTGGGTTGTCAGCACCCGGGGCAAGGCAAGTAATTTGCGCCCCCTAAAGTGAGTGAGCCAGGTAGGGGCAGAGAGCTGCGAGTGCGAGTGCGCCCCCCAGATGTTGCGCCCGGTGCGGCCGGCCCCCCCTGCACCCCCCACACTACACCACTGATAACCACTTTACATTTAAAGCACTCTTATACCACTGTAACAATCATGGCTTGCCCAAAAAGAATGCTTAGAGCTGTAGTTTAGAAGGGTACCTGCACATTTAGAAGGGTACCTGCACATTTTGCTTCATAACTTTCTTCTTAGGAGAGCTTAAAAAAAAAAAAAAAAGCTCAGAGTTTAGAGCCCTGTGCTGGCTGTTTACCTAGTGCATCCACATACTCTACTCACCTCTTGACACCCCCCATCGGGGCGATCAATTTATTGGGGAAGGCCCTCTTTAGACAGTACTCCAAAATGTGGCAAGCCAGCCTGTTGCATTTGGAAGCTTTCTGGCTCATTTTGCTCTGTCACGTCCCGGGCTTCTGTCCTGCAAGTCCTACAAGTGATGGCAGGTGTACATTAAGCCTTGCTGGGACAGAACTCGGGCACCAACTTGAATAAAATATTATGGGGGGCTCCACCCTACATCACAATATTTGGCACCTGCTCACCATTTCAATAAGGGACACTGGTGGTGCTGTGGGTTAAACCACAGAGCCTAGGACTTGCCAATCAGAAGGTCGGCGGTTTGAATCCGCACGACGGGGTGAGCTCCCATTGCTTGGTCCCTGCTCCTGCCAACCTAGCAGTTTGAAAGCACGTCAAAGTGCAAGTAGATAAATAGGTACCACTCTGGCGGGAAGGTAAACGGCATTTCCGCGCGCTGCTCTGGTTCGCCAGAAGTGGCTTAGTCATGCTGGCCACATGACCCGGAAGCTGTACACCGGCTCCCTCGGCCAATAAAGCAAGATGAGCCCCGCAACCCCAGAGTCGGCCACGACTGGACCTAATGGTCAGGGGTTCCTTTACCTTTACACCATTTCAATGGCAATGCCCTTCAACTTGGGGGTGGTGGTAGCCCCCTCAAATATTTTATTGGGGGACAAAGGGACCTTGGCCCCTAGGAGTTGGCTTCTAGAGGTGGAAGGCAGGGGGTCCATCAGCAGATGGAGTCAGAGCTGATGACATGAAGCGCCAACACCCCCTGGCTGATGGTAAGTAAAATGGCAGGCAGTTAGGGGATTGGCTGTTGGGGGCAGTTCCTCATTTCCCCCAATAAACCAGCCTCCCCTGCTTGAACCCATTTCTCTCAGATCTGAGTCCACCATTCCAGGCGTAGAAAAGTGTGTTTGTTTCCTGACGTTCTTGTCTCCCATTTTGACCATTCTCTTTCTGCTTTCCCTTGCGCCGAAGGCCGATGAGTTCATCATTGAGGCGGTCGACCTGAAGCAGGTGAGAAGGGTGAGGATAGGGCATGACGGCAAAGGAGGAAGCAGCGGCTGGTACCTTGGCAAAGTGATAGTGAGGGAAGATGGACAGCCAGAGAGTGAGGATCAAGAATTCCCCTGCTACAGGTACTAGGAAAAATGTCAGGCTGTGCCTGTGCTCTGTCAACTGGCTGAGTGTTCAGGACGGCAGGCTACCCTTTTGTTTTAACATACGATGAGCACACTGTGGGCCTCGTTGTACAAAACCTGTCGCCTCCATTCTCTCGAATCATGCCTCAGAGAGAAAATTAAAAACAAGGATAGAATAGGCATCAGCCACCCAACATAACCCCAATGGCCTCGACCACTGAACCTCACCATAAACGCTCCTGACACAAGCATTCTGAGGCTATCTTAGCCTAGCACACAGTGGTTGAAACAATAAATAACAATAATTTTAGGAAGTGTGCAAGCTACTAGGATACAGCATGCAAGTGAAATGTACAGCCCTTTCAAAACCAGGAATAGTTCATAAAGTGAAATGATTTAGAATTACCCCATTGACCAATTATTTTGGTTTAAAACATGGTATTCTTTCCTTCCAATCCAGTGGCCTTGAAAAATAAAAATGGGTGCTGTATAAATAAAGCCACAATTGGTTCTCCTTTCCATGTGAAATCATGGAGGCAGCAAATTCTAAACCCCAGAGAGACATCACACCAATCAGGAACATGAAGACCAAGGCCCAGATCTTAAAATCTCTTGCCCTGCAGGGTGGATTCTATACCACCCTCCAGTCACAGAAACACATGCCACAAAAAGGAGCACATGGTCCTTAACATCTCCAGAGCCCTCTTTTCCATGTAAGACAGTCAAATCTCAAGAGAAGTTTCCTTTGCTGTCCTTGCACCTCTATTATCTCTACCTTTCAAATAGAAAGAGGGTCACATGACAGCCTGCAGCAGAAGAACCCAGCCCAATGCTGGCACGTGCGTTCTTTGCCAACATGGCTGCCTTCTGCTTGGCGGTTGTGTCATGGGCTCTTGAGAAATTTGAAGACAAAGGTGCTCGCCAACTGCATCCTCTTTTATGAAGGAAAGCAGATCTCTCCATGACCTGTAGATATTGGATGACAACCATTCCAGGCCTGCTGGTCAAGGAGTCTTCCGATTTCTTTGGGGTGTTTCTTTTTTTGGAGAAGCATAAAATCTGTGTATGAAACGTTGATCACAAACTATGGGCCTTGCTGATGGCTGATGTAGATGCTACACTCCTTACAAGGAGGCTGCTGGAAGCAGCTTTCCTGTGATGAGTGATCCCGGTTATAAGACCAAAAACAGGAAGTATCTCAGAAGAACTTCTCATGAAGGTGCCACCTAAACAGCAAGATGTCTTGACCATGGCGGTGGCTTAATCCCCAGTCAATGGAACAAGATCCTAGGATGGGAACAGCACCAAGAACTGCGCGAGACACAGGTACTAAGTTGCAGCAAGGTAAAAACCAAAGACCAAAACCAACCCTACGAAGACTTCCTTCCTTTGGGAAGTTATCTTGGTTGCTTCTACAGCTGCTTTCCTTACATTCCTACTTCTCGATCTCTGCCACAAGTCACCACAGCAGAGGATTACTGTTCCTAACTAATGCCAAAACCACGGACGAGCATGTTGATGAACCTTTTACATCTCACATGAAACACACCCTCCCTTGTTCGCTGGGGGTGGGTGTCAGTGGAAGATGAAATGTGTTCCTCATTGCCAAGGCAACCAGACCAAAACAGCATTGCTTTGATCTAATTGTTGCATATTTTTCCTAGCCGGTGCAGAATGCAGATGTCACCCATCGACACTTGCTTTTGGTGGGATATGCATTCAGATATATATCCTCATCCACATTTTTCTCCAGCCTAGTTATAAGCAACTTATGGAATTTAGAAAGTCTTGCCTAGTAATGAAAGTGGACAAAATCGCCAGTATGGTGTAGACAAATAACGAGCATCAACATTAATGCCTAGGCAACAGAGATTCATTTCTTCCTATTCAGAGGGAGGGCAGTAGGTAGGATTTGTTTTCTCTCAGCGCTGCTGTCACATAGTCCCACCTGACTGTTTGCAGGGTGCTGTGGCATCATCGTGATTTTTGATAGGCTGGGATCATGGTGTGATGTGGCCTTTTCAAGTAGAACAAAATGGCGCCCCAGCAGTAGCAGGCAGAGGGAAAAATGGCAGCAAACAAACACAACATTTTTTTTTGCAAGAAAGTGTTTTTTCTCCACAATGAACATCCCTAAACAGCAGGTTTTGCAGCAAAAATGAAAACTCAGGTGCGGTACTGCTAATTGAGGCATCTAAACCTTTCCAAAGCGCTTACCTTTGGCCACATGGTTCTAGAGACTGAAAGGGAAGAATACTGGGTAGAGTACATACCCGACAATCAACAAACGTTCAGCGAGGGGAAATTTGGTTCCTTCGTTTTGCATGCTACCCATTCTGCTGTGGTGCTTTGCCAGGGTCTCATAGCTATTTTGCATTTTTTTAAAAAAATGGAATATACAATCACCAAATGCATGCAATGCATCTGCTGCCAGGCTGCACCAGTTCAGACTGCAAATTGTGTGTGTGTGTCAGAGAGAAAGTGAGTGTGAGGGTGGCCCTATGACAAGACCAAGTGAGGCAGCTGCCTCAGGCAGCAAATCCTGATGTGGGGGGGGGAGTGGCCAGAGCTGTGAGTCCCACATGGCCTGCCCTGTGCCTCTCACACCAGCCCGCTGCCCTTTAATGAAATCTTCAATTTAAAAAATGGGGAAGAACAGACAATGAGTAGCCCACTTTTTTGTAGATGACTACGCAGGTGGTGCTGTGGGTTAAACCACAGAGCCTAGGGCTTGCTGATCAGAAGGTCAGCGGTTCAAATCCCCACAACGGGGTGAGCTCCCGTTGCTCGGTCCCTGCTCCTGCCCACCTAGCAGTTCAAAAACACGTCAAAGTGCAAGTAGATAAATAGGTACCGCTCCAGCAGGAAGGTAAGCGGCGTTTCCGTGCACTGCTCTGGTTCGCCAGAAGCGTCTTAGTCATGCTGGCCACATGACCCGGAAGCTGTACGCCAGCTCCCTCGGCCAATAAAGCGAGATGAGCGCCGCAACCCCAGAGTCGGTCACGACTGGGCCTAATGGTCAGGGGTCCCTTTACCTTTACCTTTACTACCTGGAATGTAACATGTCAGAGGTTAGGATAAAACAGAAATTATACATATTCTTAGTACCCTTTGGGGTCATTTTTTTTTCCAAACTCCCCAAACAAAGAAGGTTTCAATCTTGCTGATGATGTTTAAGGCATTAACTGCCAGAAATTAACACCTTTCCCTAGCTCTTGTTCCTTGCCCCCTCCTTAAGCATCTCAAATCCACAACTGAGAAATGGAATAAAGATGACAGATATATACATTTACCTTGCAAGGTGATATGCTCTTCTTCATTAGAGGTCTTCAAACAGAAGCTGCATGGCCACCTGTCAGGGATTCTTTCACTTGGGGGTCCTTTCCAACCCTATAATTCTGTGAATTATTGGATATTGTTTCTTCTTTGCCAGGTGTCTTGTAATCTGTTTCTTTATTCCAGATTGCCATAAAAAGGTCTCTAGGCACACAGGTTTGTTTCTCAGTATATACACTGTATCTTCCTGGATTTTAATAAACCTCCTGATGCTTGGCTGGTAATAGCAGGTAACTTAACTTTTATTTGCTGACCAGATGGCTTGACAAGAATGAGGATGATGGCATGATTATTCGAGAGTTAGTTCCAGCTGGGAGATCATCTATTCTGGAAAGTGAGTTTGCAAATGGATTTCATGTCTGGCTGTTCAGTTTTTACTTCATTGGGATGGGGATAGATAGAAAGCATTCTTTTAACTTGTGTCTTTACACTTGCTAAGATCTTCTCATTCTTTCTGGCCAAGTCCTTTGAATATCTATTTTTTCTTTCCTCCATCAAGCATAGGAATGGGTGACACTGACCATTTCAGTTGGTCCTGAAAGAGTTTGAAGTATCATACATGAATTCCTAGCTTCTGCCCTTTCCCTTCCTGTTCTTTTTCGATCACCAGTGATGAGGGATGAGTTTTTGCCATACGTTGTCAGGTCTCATACCTAGCACATGCTAATATTTCTGTAGATATCGGTTACCACATCAGCATAAAAACAGGGGACGTCCCTGGAGCCAGCTCAGATTCAAAGGTTTTGATCAAGCTCTACGGTGAAAAAGCAGACACGAAAAAGGAGACGCTTTTGGTGTCTGATAATGACTTAGAGGACTACTTTGAACGAGGACGGATCGATATCTTCACTCTTGACACAATGGACATTGGGGAGGTAAGAACGAACTACAAACATGGCTTTGAGCCAGAAAGGACTGGTTTAATTGCTAGGGTCACAATGGCTTTAAAAATGGAGTGTGGTTGCCTAGCAGTTTATCATACTTTATGGCATCACATGCTTTCTAAACTGAAACCCACAGTTAAGAAATAGCTTTTTTAGACTCAAAGAAAACATCAGAAATAGCACGCAAGGACTCCAGAGCTCGTTATCAGACTCCATGTTGAGGAAAACAGTGGGTCGAGGCAGGGGAAGAAGAAAAATTGGAGCATGGTGTTTTGAACCCACTTAGGGGGCAAACCTATGGAAAGATCCACTGGGATAAGCATCTTTGTTGTTGTTGTTTAGTTGTTTAGTCATATCTGACTCTTCATGACCCCATGGACCAGAGCACGCCAGGCACTCCTGTCTTCCACTGCCTCCCGCAGTTTGGTCAGACTCATGTTTGTAGCTTCGAGAACACTATCCAACCATCTCGCCCTCTGTCATCCCCTTCTCCTTGTGCCCTCCATCTTTCCCAACATCAGGGTCTTTTCCAGGGAGTCTTCTCTTCTCATGAGGTGGCCAAAGTACTGGAGCCTCAGCTTCAGGATCTGTCCTTCCAGTGAGCACTCAGGGCTGATTTCCTTAAGAATGGATAGGTTTGATCTTCTTGCAGTCCATGGGACTCTCAAGAGTCTCCTCCGGCACCATAATTCAAAAGCATCAATTTCAATAAGCATCTTAGGATGTAGCAGATCACTGGCCCAGCCGGCTGATTCCTGTCTCAGCCAGGTTCCAGCTGGCATTAAGTCCCCCATTCCAGCTTGGCCAAATATAGCTCCATCTTGCTCAGCTCAGCTCAGCCTCAGCTGGCTGCGCCAAAGCCAAGGTAAGTCCCCCCAAAGGTCATGGTGGAGGCATGGCAGAAAGAGGACCCAAATGGGTGAACTTAGTGTGGACCCTAAGCCCATCAGTTCTGTGATGCAACCCAGCACCCCAGCATAAAATGCTATTTTAGGAGGATATCTCAATCAGTAGAGCACGAGACTCTTAAACTTGGGGTCATGGGTTTGAGCCCCCCATGGAGCAAAAGATTCCTGCATTTGCAGGGGGTGGACTAGATGTCCCTTGTGGTCCCTTTCAACTCTACAATTCTACGATTCCATGACTTGTTTTCTCTCAGTCATGCTTAGGTGGAGCAGCAGGCCCGCTGCTGAAGGGGCTTTGGAACTGATGCAATTTTACACTAGCTTAACTTACACTGGCTTGCTTTACACCACCTTCTTGTGCACAGGACTCCTCACTACCTCTGCAGTCTGTAGGAGTCTTAATATGATGTGCTGTCGGTGTTGCGCAGGCTCAGATCATTTAGCCTCTACTCAACAGGCTTCAGTCATTTTGAGAGCTGCTGGGATCATAATGATAATAATAATAATAATAATAATAATAATAATAATACAGTCATACCTCAGGTTGAATATGCTTCAGGTTGAGCGATTTCAGGTTACGCCCCGCGGCGACCCAGAAGTAATGGAACACGTTACTTCCGGGTTTCACCGGAGACTTACCCTGGCTTTGGCTAAGCCAGCTGAGACTGAGCTGAGTGGTGCATGCCCAGACACTCAAAATTACATAACGCGCATGCACGGAAGCGATGAATCGCGACCCGCGAATGCACAGAGGCGCAGACGTGGGTTGCGTTCGCTTCCGGATGTGAACGGGGCTCTGGAACGGATTCTGTTTGCATCCAGAGGTACCACTGTAATTGTTGTTGTTTAGTCGTTTAGTCGTGTCCGTCTCTTCGTGACCCCCTGGACCAGAGCATGCCAGGCACTCCTGTCTTCCACTGCCTCCCGCAGTTTGGTCAAACTCATGTTGGTAACCTCGAAAACACTATCCAACCACCTCATCCTCTGTCATCCCCTTCTCCTTGCACTCTCCATCTTTCCCAACATCAGGGTCTTTTCCAGGGAGTCTTCTCTTCTCATGAGGGGCCAAAGTACTGGAGCCTCAGCTTCAGGATCTGTCCTTCCAGTGAGCACTCAGGGTCTGATTTCCTTAAGAATGGAGAGGTTTGATCTTCTTGCAGTCCATGGGACTCTCAAGAGTCTCCTCCAGCACCATAATTCAAAAGCATCAATTCTTCGGCGATCAGCCTTCTTTATGGTCCAGCTCTCACTTCCATACATCACTACTGGGAAAACCATGGCTTTAACTATACGGACCTTTGTTGGTAAGGTGATGTCTCTACTTTTTAAGATGTTGTCTAGATTTGCCATCGCCTTTCTCCCAAGGAGCAGGCGTCTTTTAATTTCATGACTGCTACTGTAATACTAATACTAACAACAACAACAACAACAACAACAACAACAACAACAACAACAACTGATCTCCAGGGTTTTGTGTGTGTCCAATGTTATTCATACTCAGAGCAGAACCATTAAAATCAATGGGCATGCCTAACTTAGCTCCATTAACTGCAATGGGTCTACGTTGTATGGAACTTAGTTGGGATGCAACTCATCAAATCTAGACGTCGTATCTGCCTGCCTGCTATAGCGCTGAGCAGAATCCAGAAGTCCCCTTTGAGACAGAGAGCAAAGACAACTGAGGTAGTTGAGAACTGAGCAAAGATAGAGCAATAGGCATTTCCATGACGCACTCAAACGCTTTCCATCCTGCCTCCCAAAGATCAAGCGGATTTCCATCGGGCACGACAATGTAGGACTCCGAGCTGGCTGGCACCTTGGCAGTGTTGAGATTTCAATTCCTGTCCACGGCAAGCAGTACAACTTCCCTTGCAACCGGTGGCTGGACAAAACCGAAGCCGATGGAAAGGTAGAGATTGAAGTCTACCCCAGCGAGATCGTCCCAATTGAGAAACGTAAGGACTGGTGGCACCTTTCTAGTGATTATGATGGATAGCATTTTCTGGGAGTGAAAGAAAGGGAGGGTTGTCCTTTGGATGTTGGAAGATTTAGGGCAGATACAAGAAAGTAGTTCTTCACATAGTAAATCATTTCCCCCCTCCATAAGAATATTTTACTCCTTTCCATATTGAAAATTACATTTGCTACTCAACCGTTATAGTCAAATTTAACAAAGCTAGTGACTTCCAGCTCACCCAATGTCTATGTTTATACAGTTGTACCTTGGAAATCGAATGGAATCTGTTCCCCAAGTCTGTTCGACTCCCAAAACGTTCGAAAACCAAAGCACAGCTTCTGATTGGCGACAGGAAGCTCCTGCAGCCAATCAGCAGCTGCGGAAGCCCCGTCGGACATTCGGCTTCCAAAAATAGTTTGCAAACCAGAACACTCACTTCTGGGTGTGCTGCGTTCGGGAGCCAAACATTCGAGAACTAAGCTGTTTGAAAACCAAGGTACGACTGTATTCCAAATTACATACAATTGCGTTTTAAGGTTCTGTATTATCTAATTTCATCCTCTAAAATCTTTTTTTATAAATAATTTTTATTAATTTTAACATATAAATTATAATACATACCACAGAACCTCACCACTTATATAATCTTTTTTTTTTTTTTTGGACTTCCATCAGCACCTCTGATGATCCACCGTTTTAACCACTTCTTATGCATTTCTTAAATCCATATTGCCTTTAATTATCTTAACTAACCATCCTCCCCTTTATCCATTTTTGCAATAGTTCCAATAGTTTACCTCACAAAACTTGCAAACCTACAAACGTAGTCTGATCATCACAATTACTTTTCAAATAGTCTGTAAATTTACACCAGTCTTCTGTGAATTTCTGGTCCCGCAGATTTCGAATCCTTCCTGTTAGTTTATCTAGTTCTGCATAGTCCATTAATTTCATCCTTCATTCTTCTTTCGTCGGTAATTCTTCTTGCCAATAATATTCTTGCTGCTGTCATTGCATATAAAAACAGCTTACATTCCTTTCTGTTTATATCACTCCCAACAATGCCCAGTAAGAATGCTTCTGGTTTCTTTATAAATGTATATTTCAACATTTTTTCCATCTCATTATATATCATTTCCCAGAAGCTTTTTACTTTTTTTTACATTCCCACCACATGTGATAAAATGTTCCTTCTTTTTCTTTACATTCCCAACATTTATTGCTAATTTTATACATTTTAACTAATTTAACGGGTGTAATATACCATCTATACATCATTTTCATCACATTTTCTTTTAAGGCATTGCATGTGGTAAACTTTAAACCTTCTTTCCATATTTTTTCCCAATCACTCAGCTGTATATTATACTCAAAATCTTTAGCCCAATGAATCATAACCGACTTTACCTCTAAAATCTATTGGGGGGGGGGGAGAGAACAGCCTTAATTCCCACAATCACCTCTCCTCCCCGTCTTCTTCAAACATAGTGATAAATTACGAGGTGTGTGTTGTGACTGGCGACGTGAGGAATGCGGGAACCAATGCCAACGTCTTCATGCAGATTTATGGTGAGCTGGGCAAGACAGAGGTCCTGATTCTGAGAAACCGGTCAAACAACTATGAGAGAGGAGCGACAGAAACCTTCAAGGTAGGGCTGAGCCACAGAAGGGGCTCTAACTAGATTTCTCTGGGGTGAGTGCTTTCCCTCTCCACCAGCAAAAGTGTGGCGGATCTAGATATCGCATCTTTTTGCCAGGCTTGATGTTAGACGAGCCTTCTTCAGTTTTAGCTTCTCCGAGGTCACGCCTGCACACCGTGTTATGAAATTCAAAATGTGCCTTGTGGACGTGATCACAGAGAAATGGAAAATAAGAACCTTTAACTCTCAGCCCTGAGAGCTGTGAAAGAGATTCTCTCCTGGTCAGAAATTGAAATTGAAATACTTTATTGTGACTTGTACAACTTGTATACAGTGAGATTACACGAGCACCCCCCACTCAGCTCTCTTAGTCTTAATTCCCCTTGTTTACTGACGCACACACACCAAACCCCAAAGTCAGTTGCCCTGTTGTTATCTTTTCATTCAGCAGCCTAACAGCCCACGGATAGAAGCTTTTCTTTACCCTGTTGGTGTGACTAATCATGCTTCTATATCTTCTGCCTGAGGGCAGGAGATCAAGAAAGTGCCGGCCAGGGTGTGAATCATCCCTGAGAATTTTCCTCACTCTCCTGAGGCAACGTTCTTCCGCGATGTCATTCAGCAGATTCACAGGACAGCCCATAATATCTTGTGCTGTATTCACCACCATCCGTAGGCACTTCCTATCAGTTGATGTCAAACCAGTGTACCACACCGTGATGCAGTATGAAAGGACACTTTCTATCGTGGACTGGGAGAAGGAGATCATCAAATGTTGATTGACATCATTCTTCCACAATAATCTGAGGAGAATGAGTCTCTGTTGGGCTTTCTTAACCACCTGGGTTGTATTTATTTTCCAAGCAAGCTCTTCACTGAGATAAACTCCTAGGAATTTAAAGGAAGAGACCCTCTCCTCACAGCCCTCCCCGATGTACAGCGGGGCTAGTTCTCTCTTCCTCCGAAAGTCCAACACCATCTCCTTTGTCTTGTTGATATTAAGGTGCAAGTTGTTCCCTAGGCACCATGTAGATATTTTTTATTTTTTATTTAGAAGCAGAATGTCTGGGGGCTTGCTCCTTGCCTTGCTTGGCAGAGCCAAACTAAACCATGGAAAATAAGTAGCTTGTGGCAGAGGTGTGGAACTGGATCTGGGCAACAGACCCAGAAATTACCTTCCTGACCTCTAGCAGCCCACATTGGACAGGTTGGTGGAGCCACCTGCCTGTCAATCATCTGATGTCACAATTACTCTCCGGTTGTGACTCTTGTATTGCAGTGGGTTGGACTAGATGACCCTGGGACCCCTTTCCAAATCTATGATTCTATTATCTTTTTTGCCCACAGGGGTCTTCAGAAACCCCATCCCAGTTCATTATGATTTAATTTGGAAATATTTGTAACTCTCCCCAGTTACCCTACCTCTTCTCCCAACTTCCTCATTGGGCTTTTGGACCATTCATTATTTCATTCTATATTTTGTTAAACCAACTCTTTGGTCATTTTAAAAAAAGATTTACATATCTATGACTTCCCTGTGGGTTAGTTAAAGATTATAATTTCTTGTTGCATGTTCTTTTGTCTTTTGCTTTGTTGCATAAACTGCAAAATCATTAAATGAAAGCTATTAAAATATAAAGAAAAGAAACCCTCTTCAAAAAACTGTTTTTGCAAGCACTGCCTATCATCTGTTTTATATTTTATTCCTCCTGTACTTTTGTTATTTATGCTCGGTAGTCTTGTCTTTAACAAAATTGGTACTATTTAGAAAACACCCTTCTGTCCATCAATCTGAAATATAGAGATCATAATATCTAACAGCAGGCATGGCCAAACTTGGCCCTCCAGATGTTTTGGGACTACAACTCCCATCATCCCTAGCTAACAGGACCAGTGGTCAGGGATGATGGGAATTGTAGTCCCAAAACATCTGGAGAGCCATGTTTGGCCATGCCTGTCTAACAGGGTTGCTGTAAGGATGACAGAGAGCATGTACAAAATGCTTTCAACACCTAAAAATGCTGTCAAAATGCTCAGAGTTTATTTTACTAACCACCTTAAAGGTAGAAGCTGCGGACGTTGGCAAGGTCTACAAGATTCGAATTGGCCACGACGGGAGTGGCATTGGGGACGGCTGGTTCTTGGAAACTGTCACGGTTAAGAAGATGCCGACAAGGGAGGAAAAGAAGAAAAAGAAGAAGAAGAAGAAGAAGTCTCCTGAAGAAGCGGAGGAAGAGGAGGAGCCTCAGGAGATAGATATTATGGAGGTTTATCAGTTTGAAGCCCACCGATGGCTGGCCAGGGATGAAGAGGACAAGGAGCTGGTGGTGGAACTAATACCAGAGGATGGAGAGGAAATTGAAGGTAAACTGGGGTCACTGGAAGGTAAACTGGGATCGAAGGGTCATAGCTCAGTTGCAGGGATGGAAAAGATCCCTAACTGAAAGATGCTGGAGAGCCGCTGCATGCCAGTACCAACAATTCTGTGCTAAACGCAATATAAGGCAGTTTCCTTTGTTGGTGTGCATGATTCCTAGTGCATTTCCTTGTATCCAGCTTTAGCGGGTATGGACCTTGTGTGAGCAGGGTGGCCAATAAATGGAGATCCATGCAGACACGAGTCCAGGGTTCTCCAACTTTCTGATAGTTTGAAGGGACTTTAGTCAGACCTCCTTCCAGTTCAGGAAATAGCACTGCTGATTCCCCCTATCTTTTCCTCTGCAATGCAAAAGCAGCCTGGGGAGGGAGACTTGGGCAAGGTGATTGGGGAGGAGCCTTGGACAAGGGCAGCGTGATGTAGTGGTTAGGGTGTTGGACTAGGACCTGGGAGACCAAATCAGCACTGGGCACCAAAACTCACTGGCTGACCTTGGGCCTGTCCCCACCTCTCAGTACTTCAAAGGGTCGTTGTGGGGATTAAAAAAGGAGGAGGAGGACATTGTATGCTACCTTGATGTATATTTAGCTCTAGGAGGCTTATTTTGGTCAGATTCAAGTATATACACTTCCTGGTGTTGAGGTGGAATCTCCTTTATGGTAACTTGAAGCCATTGGTTTGAGTCCTACCCTCCAGAGCAGGAGAAAACAAGCTTACTCCATCTTCCATAGATACAATCAAGTAGACACTTCCAGAGTTAACCCTAAATACATTACTTCTGGTAAATGAGCCACAATAGCTACTGGAGGGCCATGAAAATTTGTATCCTGGGCGTTTGAGACTTGTGCACCCCTGTACTATCTGGTGTAATGATCTCTGGAAGGCAAGCAAGTCCCAATAAGAAGTAATGACTCTCTGGTAGTTTTATGTATGTTTATTTACAAAAAGACACACCCAGAGCACTGCTTCTCACCTGCTCGCATTGATGATAGTTGGCCAGTCTGAATTTTCGCCCCTCCCACAGCAGGAAGGACGCCAAACTCCCGTCTTTCCCCTCTTTCCCTTCCGTTGCCCTCTGATTTTATCCAGTCTCCTAGAACGGGGACTGAGAGGCTGGCCTTCACCCTCCCCACTGTCATTTGACAGTCTCAGACCTCTGCTTATCTGCTGGTTGCATAGCAGCGCTCTGGCTGCCTTCCAACTCTTCCTCTTCTTGAGAACTAACAGAGTCTTCCCCAGGAAGGGGGGTTGAACTGTCCTTTCTCAACTCTGTCAGCCAGCTCTCATCTGCAGAGTCAGTCCCTCATTCACTTAGTTCGATTTCTGAGTCTCACTCTTCCCCTGCGCTCTGGGGGGCCACTTTCCTGACACCTGAGACCAAAGGGCCACATTGGTTGTCAGATGTGAATTTGCCCCCCCCCCCAGCTCTCGTACCCCACTAAAACAAACACAATACTTGGTAAGTGTGGGTACCCTATGATGAGAAGAGTCCTGAACTCCCTCCTGGAGGAATTCCCTATTTAGGGAAGTTTTTAATGTTTGATGCTGTACTGTGTTTTTAATATTTGGTTGGGAGCCACCCAGAGTGTCTGGGAAAACCCAACCAGATGGGCGGGGTATACATAATACATTATTATTATTATTATTATTATTATTATTATTATTATTATTATTGACTCACCAGAACTTTTCAGTGAATAACAGAGGCTAAGCCTAAGCAAAACATGTTTACAGAAGGGAAAACAATGAGTCCTCTCAGAATCTGAATACAGATTTATTGCTTACTTCCCCCAGCAAACTTGTATGAAGTCAATGTTATCACTGGGGGCGTGTGGGGCGCCGGAACGGATGCTAACGTTTACCTGAGCATCTATGGTGAAAGAGGAGACACCGGAGAGAGGCACCTGAAGCGCTCAGATCACCTCAACAAATTTGAGAAGAACCAGGTAAGAACCTGAGAACTCGGTGCCTAGATGCAGGTCACACGCCCAGCTAATCCAGCACTCCGAAGAGAGCCAAGAGACAAACATGACATTCTGCTCTCCTCCATCGCAGCACATCACCAAACAACAGACCTGGAGTAATATTTCAGATTTACAGCTTCTACAGATTTGTTCCCAATGAGAACTTTCTTCCCCGTACAAATAGCAGCTTTCAGGGAGCAGTTTCCCTCCCTAAGGATCTCAGCAGGAAAGAAATGAGTTAAGCTCCTTCATCCCTTCCTCCTGCAACCCTGATAATTATCAGCTCCCTCCATCAGCTGCTATCTGTATTTTTTAAAATCATGCATGATAAATGTACCAGGCGGTGTGGGACGGTGCATGTAACATTGCATTCAGTTTATCTGCAATAGACCATTAAACAGAGTTGGGGGCAACAGTTTGACTGCAGATGTGAACCTGCCTTAAACTGAGAGGTTTCTAAAAAAGAAAAGAAAAAAGGTTTTATAAGGCTGATTAATATTCTACAGCCTTTTAAATGTGTTTGTGGGAGGGGGGTGTTATCGTTTCGTTTTAACAATTTCTTTGGTTTTCTCCCTGGCATTTTTATCCAGTGAATTGCCCCGAAATCTTGTAATGAAGGATAGTAGTATAATAATAATAATAATAATAATAATAATAATAATAATAATATATGTCCTGGGACGTGGGTGGCGCTGTGGGTTAAACCACAGAGCCTAGGACTTGCTGATCAGAAGTTCGGCGGTTCGAATCCCCATGACGGGGTGAGCTCCCATTGCTTGGTCCCAGCTCCTGCCCACCTAGCAGTTCGAAAGCACGTCAAAGTGCAAGTAGATAAATAGGTACCGCTCTGGCAGGAAGGTAAATGGCGTTTCTGTGTGCTGCTCTGGTTCGCCAGAAGCGGCTTAGTAATGCTGGCCACATGACCCGGAAGCTGTACGCCGGCTCCCTCGGCCAATAAAGCGAGATGAGCGCTGCATCCCCAGAGTCGGCCACGACTGGACCTAATGGTCAGTGGTCCCTTTACCTTTACCATCCATCCATCCATCCATCCATCCATACATACATACTCACTCTGAATAGGCAGTAGGAAAACCTAATGCCTTATATCAGGCACACCCAACTCTCTAGTCACTGTGATCTACTCCCACTAAAACTGGTAGTATCTACCCATTGTCTTTGCCCAGAGTTGTTGAAAGAGAGAGGAGAGAGACCAGAGTTGTTGAGCTTCTTTTTTGGGCGGAGACCAGAGCTGTTAAGCTTCCCACCCCCATAAATTTTTATTATTTTCCTTACACGTTTTTTCAAACAATACATTGATCAACATATCAACCTTTTTGCTCTGCCGAGCTTGCAACTTCCCTTCTCCCCTTCAGCTGGTAAAGCTAAAGGTAAAGGGACCATTGGCCATTAGGTCCAGTCATGTCATGGCCGACTCTGGGGTTGCGGCGCTCATCTCGCTTTACTGGCCGAGGGAGCCGGCGTACAGCTTCCAGGTCATGTGGCCAGCATGACTAAGCCGCTTCTGGTGAACCAGAGCAGTGCACGGAAATGCCATTTACCTTCCCGCCAGAGTGGTACCTACTTATCTGCTTGCATTTTGATGTGCTTTCGAACTGCTAAGTTGGCAGGAGCAGGGACTGAGCAACGGGTCGCAGGGATTCGAACCTCCATCCTTCTGATCGGCAAGTCCTAGGCTCTGTGGTTTAGCCCACAGCGCCACCCGGGTATCCCATATCAAATCCAATCGTGCATTCTAACTCTTTACAACTTATCAACATTGTAGGATTTACTTCAGTCCTGCTAGTGTCTTTTTACAGTTATCATTTAAATCTACAATAAATTTACTCCAGTCTTTCTGGAATTTCTGATCGCCCTGGTCTCAAATCCTGCACACTCTGCCGCCGATGCAGGGAACACAACCTTTTAAAGCTGCACCAATGCGGTGATAGGACATAGCGATGAGGGAGGGGCAGATCGCGATCGTGCAGGAGCGACTGGGCAATCACTTCTTTAACTACCGCAATTGACCTGGAGCATCCTGGCAATCTACCTGTCGACCGGTTTGACAGTGCAGCCTTATATCAAATGAGACCAGTGGTCCATCTACCTCAGTATTGTCTATACTGACTAACAGCACCTCTTTAGAGTTTTTAAATATACTCGGAGTCAAGAATGGATTTCATGCTCTTTTTTCAGCTCATAGTAGCAAGGAATGAAAGTTCCCCCTCAAAATCTGCTTTATATACATTATTTACACAACAGGCTGCACGTGATTGGTTAATTCTGGGAATCTCCTGTAGGCCAATCATGTTGCGGATTCACTTCCACCTGCAGTTGGATTGGTTGGCTCCTGTGGACCAATCATACTGCTGCATCGTTCTAGGACCAATCAGACTGCTGCATTTTGGATCCTATTGTTCTAGGACCAATCATACTGCTGCATTTTGTATCTTATTGTTCTAGGACCAATCAGACTGCTGCATTTTGGATCCTATTGTTCTAGGACCAATCAGACTGCTGCATTTTCGATCCTATTCAACTCAGTACATAACAAGTTTCAATCCTTTTTGGAGAGGTTTGACCCTCGGACTTCCTGCGTGCAAAGCAGAGGCTGTACCCCTGAGCGCCCATCTTTCCCATAAGACTATAGGATTGCTCTGCAAGGCTGCAGTCCTATACCTATGTACCTGGGAGTAAGCCCTGTTGGTGCCAATGGAACTTACTTCTGGGTAGATATGCATAGGACTCGCCTGTGAAGCACATTTAAGATGGGGAAACTCTCAGCTCTCAAGGCACAAATCCCTTTGGGGGCATACAGAACTCCAGGGGGCTCTCTCTCTTGTGCTGCTTTGCAGGTGGACGTATTCACTGTTCCAGCCATTGATCTGGGAGAGCTCAAGAAGGTTCGCATCCGCCACGATAACACCGGAAGCAATCCCGCTTGGTTCCTGGAGAGGATCGAGGTCATTGACACCAACGAGGACATCACGTGAGCAGATCGATGACTGTCCCTCAGCTAAGGCAACATTCTGGGTCCTGACCAATTCACAGGGCAATTGAAATCAATTTGCAACTCCAGTTGTATATATACCATATTTTTTTTGCTCTATAAGACTCACTTTTTCCCTCCTAAAAAGTAAGGGGAAATGTGTGTGCATCTTATGGAGCGAATGCAGGCTGCGCATCTATCCCAGAAGCCAGAACAGCAAGAGGGATTGCTGCTTTCACTGGGCAGCGATCCCTCTTGCTGTTCTGGATTCTGGGATTCAGAATATTTTTTTGCTTGTTTTCCTCCTCCAAAAACTAGGTGCGTCTTGTGGTCTGGTGCGTCTTATAGAGCGAAAAATATGGTAACTAAAATGCCCAAGGATTGCATAAGTGACACAAGGCATGGAGTTGCTGTTAGGATAAACACTACACAGAACAACCTAAAGGGGAATTTCAACAATGGGGCCCTCCTTTGCTTGGGTAGTGGTACCCTTGGGTGTTCTACAGTGTAGCCCTAAACATTTATACCAAGCCTTGACGATTTTTTAAAAAAAAATTATTCATTTTTCTTTTTCATTCATTACACATCTCATATTCATAACATTTACTATGCATTCCTCCCTCCCTTCCCTCCTAGGCTTCCCCCAACTACTGGTTTGTTTCTCCTTTCACCCACTTTGCTGCCTCTTAACAGAAAAAGCTACTAATAGCATATTTACAGTGGTGCCTCGCAAGACGAAAATAATCCGTTCCGCGAGTCTCTTCGTCTAGCGGTTTTTTCGTCTTGCGAAGCAACCCTATTAGCGGCTTAGCGGGTTAGCGCTATTAGCGGTTTAGCGGCTTAGCGGCTAAAAGGCTATTAGTGGCTTAGTGGCTAAAAGGCTATTAGCGGCTTAGCGGCTTAGAAAAAAAGGGGGGGAGCAAAAAAAAATCGCAAGACTCGCAAGACATTTTCGTCTTGCGAAGCAAGCCCATAGGGAAAATCGTCTTGAGAAGCAACTCAAAAACGGAAAACCCTTTCGTCTAGCGGGTTTTTCGTCTTGTGAGGCATTCGTCTTGCGGGGCACCACTGTATACAATAACATCAAACCTAAAAACATAAAAAATAACAATGAATACACCATATTACTTCTCTATCTTCTACACATTTTCTAATACTAACGATGTGAATGTTTAGTTAAATCCTGCCATCAAGTCTATAGACTTTCTTTGTTTCTGCAAGTATAATATAAATGGTTCCCATTCCTTTTCAAAGTCACTGTTGTCTTTTTCTCTGTCTGTCATTTTTGCCAGTTCTGCATAGTTCATCAGCTTCTCTTGCCATTGTTCTTTAGTTGGTATTTCTCCAGTCTTCCAATTTTGTGCGATCAACATTCTCGCTGCTGTAGTGGCATGCATAAATAAAGCCCTCTTTTCTTTCGGTATATCTTGGCCTAAAATACCTAATAAAAGGCTTCAAGCCTTGATGAATTCAATGGGGGTTACTACCAAGTAAGTGGATATGGGACTGCAGTCTTAAGAGTCCACTCCCTCCCCCAGAGATTTTCAGTACAAGACTGGGTTGCCTTTGTTCTGCGATGCCCCTATACAATATCTAACCTCCTTTCCCCCCCTTCTTTTTTAAAAAAATCTTTATTTATACAACAACAAAAACACACACAAAGAAACACAAATACAAAATTACACACAAATTACAAAAATAACCATAGACACATAATTTTCTTGGCAAACAATAAAACATCTATTGGTCTTAACACTAAAGACCCAACTTCCCGTCTATTCTAACCTCCTGGCAGGTCCCATTTGCCTTCCCCCAAAACCCAGGGTCAAAAGAGGTTTGGGTAAAGCAGCTTCTTCAAGAATGATACATGCCTGCAGGTCAGATCAGGTAGTGTGAGGTTTGAAACCAGCCCACCACCTTTCTCAAAATGGCTGTACAAGAAAGCTAGCTGCTTGCCAGAGCTTTTTATATAAGGGCATTTATTAATGTTATACAGTGGTACCTTGGTTCTCGAACTTAATCTGTTCTGGAAGTTCATTCCACTCCTGAAACCGTTCAAAAACCAAGGCGCAGCTTTTGATTGGCTGCAGGAGCTTCCTGCACTCAAGCAGAAATCGCGTTGGACATTCAGCTTCCAAAAAATGTTCAAAAACTTACTTCCAGGTTCTTGGTGTTCGGGAGCTGATTTGTTCGGCAACTAGGCCGTTTGAGAACCAAGGTACCACTGTATATATTCTAAAAAGGTTGTTAAGATTATCAACAATAACAAAAGCTGCATAGCTAAGATTTCCTGGATACTTTGTTTTTTAAATAATATTTTATTAGGATTTTTTCGAAAAATTAACAGCCAACGAAAGTCAACAAAAATCACAAAAACAGACCACAAACATCAAAAATCCAAACAGAAAAACAGAAAAAAGAAAAATACAAAAGAAAAAATTTAGCATTAAAAAAAACACTCTTTCATATTGGTAACTTTCAAAACCTTATTCTCTTTACTTCCACCCGCCTTCCCTTCTTGTATTCCACTTTAAAAATTAGTTCAGCAAGATCATTCATTATTTATTTTAAACCTTTATCCCTCCCTTTATAGTCTTGTTTATCTTAATCGCTAGAAACCCCTTCATTTCATTAAGATTTCCTGGATACTTAAGGTAATACTGTCATAGGCAAAGATTGGAAGGAAAATAATTTTTTTATTTAGAATGTTACCAATTAAGAGATCAGAGACAGAGATAAAGGGTTGGCAAAGTATGATTAATAAATTTTGTAATGGGGATAAGAAACCTAGAATTAATTAAAAAAAAAGATGGTATAAACCTCAGAAAACAGGTGGACAGGGTCTCCCCAACATAAAGTTATATAGCAAATCGATTAAGATATATCATAGACTGAATAACAGAACAATGAGATTTAGAATGGTTAGAGAGTGGTACACAGGAAATGAGGGAGAAGTTAGTGAATATATACGTTTTGATCAAACTAAATAGGCAATGGTGGTAGGAATATTGAAAATCCCTTATTAAAAATCATCCTTGAGATATGGGCGATATATAAAGGAGAATTGATACCAGTAAATTTCTCAAGAATTCTGGTGGTGATGATAGAAGACTTCCCAGTAAATTTTAAAAAAGGAAATTGAAAAAGAAGCGAAAGAGAAGAAAATGCTTAAAATAAAGGAATGGGTGGAGAAAATGAGGAGCAAAGAACAAATAAAAGAAGCTCTAACAGGAAGTAAAATAACTTGGTTTAACTGTATACAACTGAAGCCCCATGTTGGGCAAAAGATCCCTACCTTGCAGGGGGTTGGAGATGATGATCCTTGTGGTCCCTTCCAGTTCTATAGTTCTACAATTTCTTGGTCTACTGTCCTACTGACCTGCCCCTTTAAGGTCAAGCTGGAGAATACATAATTCATCATCAACCTTTATTACGGTCCAGAGACCCAACAAATCGTTACAAAGCAATACACAATTCATACAGTCTACCTCCAGGTTGAACAAGCATTTCGTTCAGAATATAGGGATCATTGGTTCTTGCAACCACCGATAAAAACTTGGCCACTGCTATTTTCCCGGCAAAGGTACCAGCAAAATATCAGTTTTCCCGGGAAAGGTACCAGCAAGGTATCAGTTCAGCCCTGGCTTGCTCATATTTTGCACAGTGCAACAAAATATATAATTAGCTACAAATCTTTACAGTGGTGCCTCGCAAGACGAAATTAATCCGTTCTGCGAGTCTCTTCGTCTTGCGGTTTTTTCGTCTTGCGAAGCACGGCTATTAGCGGCTTAGCGGCTAATAGCGGCTTAGGGGCTATTAACGGCTTAGCGGCTTAGCGGCTATTAGCAGTTTAGCGGCTTAGCGGCTTTAAGAAAAAGGAAACAAACTCGCAAGAACTCGCAAGACGTTTTGTCTTGCGAAGCAAGCCCATAGGGAAATTCGTCTTGCGGAACGACTCAAAAAACGGAAAACCCTTTCGTCTAGCGAGTTTTTCATCTTGCGAGGCATTCGTCTTGCGGGGCACCACTGTACTCTTAAGTGCAGAGGGAACAGGGCGGATTGATCACAAATTGTCGGATCTGGATCCTAGCACGAAGGTGAATAAAATGGCTTTAACCATTTGCCCCTGCGATGGGTGGCAATCTGAACTCCTGCCTGCAATTTACATAAGGGGGGAAATAATTGAAGAGTATGACAGAGTTTCTTCCCTAGGCAAATTGCAGGTGTAGGGTCCCAGATGTGGACTAGGAAGCCCCCTCACTGACTCTGGCAACTTGTGCTAAAATAGAAGGTTGCTGGGAGCACCTGTCCTTAAGGGCATTGGATATGGAGCCAGCATGTTGTCAGGAGTTCAGCCTACATTCGAGTAGGACTCTGGCAGAGACACATGCCCGACTGGCATGTTCCCTCCCTCCTGGTCAATCGTTCGGGAGCTTCTTAAGCTTTCTTCAGCCCGAACATCACAGCGACCGATGCCAACAGACTTAGGGATCCGCAAAGTTTGCACATCTTGCGTGACAGACCTCAGCAACTCGGCATTTTGGCTAATCTACTTTATTTACATATAAACACACACGGAGCACTGCAACATGGCTCCCTCTCTCTCTAACATCAGACAGCAAAGAGAAAAAGAACAAAGGACAATAGTCCCACTTCACAGAACACAGTAACACAAACATCTTGTTTCCGTCACTTCCTACTCTGTGGAGTCAAAACATATGCCGTCATGTGAAAGACAACAATCCCATGACTGCAATCATAGATCAGGAATTCTAACACATATTGCCTAGGCATTAGAGTAGGATCTCAGTCTGGAGGTGGCCAAGGGGAGGTTGCTAAACTGTGCTGTTCTTGCAGTTATTATTTCCCATGCCAGAGGTGGCTGGCAGTGGAAGAAGACGACGGTCAGGTTGCCAGAGAGCTGGTCCCAGTGGACGAAGCCTTTGTGCTGAAGGATACAGACGATTCTGGGTCTCTTGCAACACTCGGCCTGGAACAGAAAGGTTTGCCATCAACCCTTTACAATTGCTTCTGCATCACAAAGGCTGAGGTTGGGGAATGAGGAGAAATGAGGACCAGAAATGAGGAAAGGCTTTGCATCCTCCTTGAGTGTTTTTGCTTGGCTGGAATGAGTCCTTGAATTCTGCTTGAACCCTTCTTCCTTCCTTGGATAGACGACAGAATTGTGTGGGCTTAAAAACTAGCTGACTGGACAAATGAAGACATCTGAAGGCAAATCTTTAATGTTTGGTGTTTTCTTGTGTTTTTAATATTTTGTCGGAAGCCTCCCAGAGTAACTGGGGCAACCCAGTCAGATGGGCAACGTTTGAATAATTTTTTTAAAAAATTACAAATGTAAACTCGCAATGTTTAGCCCACTTTTGCTTCTTGCCCCGCCCACTATTGGCATGTGGACTCCAACAGGTTGCATAGAGAGGAATATGGCCCTCGGGGTGAAAAAGGTCCGCCGTCCCTGTCCTAGAAGTATGACTCTACTGTGGGTCTTGGATCACTTTTATTCAATGGCTAACTCACTCCATAGAATAGTCCTGTGTGTGAAGGGATAAGAGAGGGCATGAAATTCACAGTAGCTCGGAAGTCAGCCCTTCCCAATGGAGGTTTTTCTTCTCGACAGCTCAATCCACGACGTTTACCGTGACTGTGAAAACTGGGGACAAGAAACGTGGTGGGACGGACGCCAACGTCTTCATCGTCCTTTATGGCACCAAAGATGATACAGGTGGGAGCAAAAAGCCCAGCCCCAGGGCGAGATGGTGGGGTGCTGGTTGTGTGGCGAGATCCCGCCTCCCACCAATAGAAATAAAGACACAGGACACAGCAATTTAGGTTAATGGGCTAAAATTAGGCCACAACTTTATTGGTTACAGGTGATGAGCGGTATTGTCTTAGGCATTGGTCCTATCGACTATCCGGCTTCAGCCTGCTTGCTTGAAGACCGGGAAGGGTTAACACCAGCAGGGGAGCCCTGCTGATGCACATCAACTAGGGACTCCCCTGGGGTCACTGCTCGGGGGCGTGCCTTGGGCCCTGGCCTCCATAGGCTTTGGACGGGGCCACGCCCCCCGGAATCCTTTACCGGACTACCCTTCAATATGTGGGGAGGTGATGGCGCTCCTCCCCCCATACATCTACATAACAATACCCATACCAATGCCTAACCGCCAAAGCCGAGAAAGTTGTGACGATTTGCTACGAGGTAGGCAAAAAACCAAATGGCTGGTGCCAATTTGCCAAGTGGGAAAAAATCCTCCCAAGCCCCTTAATGGCGACCAACCGAGGTCCATAGCAAGGTCAAAAGAGGAACCTTGAAGGGCGGGCGGGTGGGCAGCTGAGCAGCCAAAGAGGGAGATTCCCGGCCGCGCTTGCCTTAAATGAGGCAAGCCACACCCCCTGGGCCAGCCCATTGGCTGGCCCGGGGATGATGCGGCCGAGGATTTCCCAGATCGCGCGGGGCTGGGGGGCCAGCCTCCGCGCGTGTGTTGGGGATGTGATGCCTGCAACACCACCTCCTCCCGAGGTCGGAAGTGGCTTTGCCACTCATATAATTGACTGCCAGGTCTCAAGAGAATTGGCATGGGAGGTTTAGCTACTCTTCCAGCAAATGCTTTTCCATCGTCTCATGGCAAAATTGCTTTCTCACTGGGGCAGCCAAATCAGATTGGAGTTTCTTTTCTTGCCATGGATAGATGAACTACAGTGGTACCCCGGGTTACAGACGCTTCAGGTTACAGATGCTTCAGGTTACAGACTCCGCTAACCCCGAAACAGTACCTTAGGTTAAGAACTTTGCTTCAGGATGAAAACAGAAATAGCATGGTGGTGGCGTGGCGGCAGTGGGAGTCCCCATCAGCTAAAGTAGTACCTCAGGTTAAGAACAGTTTCAGGTTAAGAACGGACCTCCAGAACGAATTAAGTTCTTAACGCGAGGTACCACTGTACAAACTTTTGAGCTGTTGTGTGTGTCCAGGCCTTCTTTGGGTCTTCAGCCGGAGCCTCTTGAGATTCCTTTTGGCAGCTCCATTGTGCAGTATTAAGGGCAGTTCGTGTTCTGAAATGCACCAGATCTGACTGAATTAGGGATGGACAGATCAGTCAAATTCCACTTTCACAGGCTTCATTTTAAAGCATGATTCTTCTCACCATTTCTGTGGATAGTTTTGGGGTTTTTTTAATCCATGTGAAAATCTTTCGACCCCAGACAAAGGGAATGACCTACTAATTGCAGTGACTGTATTTGCTAGCAGTAGTATAATTGCATCAAGTATTTTAACAAGTGCCTCTGTCAAGAGGCCCTACGATTGGTCAGAATAGGGGCAGGTGAGATATCAGGTCCAGGTGTTGACATCAGGCAGGTGTCTTCGCTGTACTCTTTTTCAGCATCTCCTTAAAACATTTTTGTTTAGGCAAGTCTATCCAGACATGTAGAATGTTGACATACCATTTATTTCCTTTTTAGCTACTGTCGGTTTTGATTATCTTTTGCATGTTTTAAAATACCTGTTCTTTTGTTGGCATCCATCCGTCTCGGCTGTTCTAACTGTTCTTTTAATTGATAATTTTAATGTTTGATTTTATATTTTTGTAAACTGCTTAGAGGTTTCCTTCTGATCAAGTGGTGCATAAAATTTTGTGGCGTAAAAATAATGGGACGAGGAATGATTTTACCTCCAAATCATTTATTCATCCAAATTATATCCTGCCTTTAAGAATACAAATCCTTCCAAGAAAATTTACAAGTAACATCCAAATACATTCAAACATACACACAAACAAATTATTATTACTATTAATATTTATAAAATTTATATACCACCCATCATCCGAAGATCTCAGTGTGGTTCACAAGATAAAAATAAACTAAATGAACAATAAAGCATATAACAAGTTATCAGGATCTTTCCCACAGGGCAGTTAATGGCAGATGGCCCTGAGGGAGAGAAGAAGGTTAATTTGGAACAGGGTTTCCCGTCTTCTCTTCCAAATCCCTAAGGACAAAGGGTTGTCACTAGCTAAGTGTGACCATGATGCTCATTTGCCTTCAGAAGCAGGAAAGCTCTGCTGGTTGAAAAACAATTGCCTCTGGTCTATTTTTTGGGTATCCTGCAATGTGTTTAAGTTTTTACTCTGCTAACTATACATTGGAATATACTGTGGATCAATATTGAGTAGAAGTTCAATGACTCAACAAGGATGCCCAGTGGCTACTGCTTTGGCATATGCCCATATACATCAACCGCTGGCGCCAGCATCCTATGCCCTTTTAAAATGTGGCTCTTTTGGGGAAGGAGGAGTGTTATTGCGTTGTTGTTTTTATTTTGCTCTTTTCTGGGTTTAGGGCGGTATATAAATTCAATAAATACTAATAATAATCCTTTCCACCACCCCTCTCTGAATTAAAACAAAACAGGGACGATTGGCCTGAAGGCTTCTAAGACGAACAAGAACAAATTTGAGCGAGGAAAGATTGATGTGTTCACGGTGGAATGTGTGGACCTCGGAGACCTAAAAAAAATTAAGATTGGCCACGATAACACAGGTATGTTGGCTTGAATGTACAAAATTACTCAAACAAGCTCTGGAGAATTATCACTCAAATAATAATAATAATAATAATAATAATAATAATAATAATAATAATTTATTATTTATACCCCGCCCATCTGGCTGAGTTTCCCCAGCCACTCTGGGCGGCTCCCAATCAGTGTTAAAAACAGTACAGCGCAGAGGAAGGAGACCCTTCTGTTCCTCCTCCGGCTTCGCAGGACAGGTGCCTCACTGAAGGGGCGCTGCACAGCCCTCCCTATCTGCGCAACGCCATTCACTCCATAAGACGCACTCACATTTCCTCTTTATAGTAGGAAAAAGGTGAGTCTTATGGAGCGAAAAATACAGTACATCCCTTCTCCATCTCTCCAGCACGGTATAATCTCAGTCCAGTAATTAACAATCCTGACACAGCAACACTCACAGTATCAGCAGCACACATTGTCTTACTTCCAACCTTGTTGTCAGCGGACAGCGTGTGCATGTGTGCTTTCCTCGTGAGGAAATTGCAGCCTGCAACTTCCTCCCTTTATTTGCACCACCGGCTGACACTAATCAAGCCTCGAGTGCCACTGCTACTCACTAAAGAAAATTCTGGAACCCTCTTTAAAGCTTCCAGGAAATTTTATCTGTTTCTTAAACAATGTTTTCTTAACAGCATAGAGCTCTTTAAAGGTAGGAATATTTCCCTAATTCCCAGGTTGCTCCAAAGGCAAGTGAAGCAAAGGGGACACCTGTCTTGCCAGTCATACATGTGGAAAAGATCTAGGGGTCTTCGTAGACCACAAGCTAAACATGAGTCAACAGTGGGATGCAACAGCAAAAAAAAAAAGCTAATGCCGTTCTTGGCTGCATCAACAGAAGTATAATGCACAGATCAAGGGGTAGTAATAGTACAGTGGTAAAGGTAAAGGTAAAGGGACCCCTGACCATTAGGTCCAGTCGTGACCGACTCTGGGATTGCGGCGCTCATCTCGCTTTATGGGTCGAGGGAGCCGGCGTACAGCTTCCGGGTCATGTGGCCAGCATGACTAAGCCACTTCTGGAGAACCAGAGTGGCGCCATTTACCTTCCCGCCGGAGCAGTACCTATTTATCTACTTGCACTTTGATGTGCTTTCGAACTGCTAGGTTGGCAGGAGCAGGGACCGAGCAACGGGAGCTCACCCCGTCGCAGGGATTCGAACCGCCAACCTTCTGATCGACAAGTCCTAGGCTCTATGGTTTAACCCACAGCGCCACCTGCGTCCCAACAGTACAGTAGTACCTCGGGTTAAGTACTTAATTCGTTCTGGAGGTCTGTTCTTAACCTGAAACTGTTCTTAACCTGAAGTACCACCTTAGCTAATGGGGCCTCCAGCTGCCACTGAGCCTCCAGAGCACAATTTCTGTTCTCATCCTGAAGCAAAGTTCTTAATGCGAGGTACTATTTCTGGGTTAGTGGAGTCTGTAACCTGAAGCGTATGTAACCTGAAGCGTCTGTAACCTGAGGTACCACTGTGCTGTGTGATCAGACCACACCTGGAATACTGTCTCCTGTTTCTCTGCAGGTAAAGCTCAAGGTTGGTTCTTGGAATGGGTAGAAGTGGATGCCCCATGCCTGGGGCTGTGTCTTGTGTTCCCTTGTGGCCGTTGGCTGGATAAATCAGAAGACGATGGAGCCATTGAAAGAGTTCTCTTCCCTGCAACCCTACAGACCAGGACATATGTCCCATGTGAGTAGTGTTGCTTGCCAGAATATTTGGTGCGTTTTTAAATGAGGATTTTTTTTAATTGTGTGGAATCCCCTAGGTTGTGGAATTATGTCCCTGCAGAGGTGTGTCTGGCTTCTTCACAATATACCTCTTCACTCTGGCCTTTGAGACCTGAGAGGTGTGTTTTCAAGACCCAACCTATTATTGGAAATGTCATATGTTTTAAGAGTTTTTATTTGTGCCCTGCCAGGGAGGAATGGCAAGCTAAGCTGGTGGGCTATGCAGAAATGGGAAAGCTGACGGGAAAGCTCAGGAACCGAGACGACAAAAACTTTAAAAAAGAAGGGGTAATTTTTGTAATTTTAAATAAATTACAAGACCATTGCAAGCAGATGAAAACATTGGCAGGATTTTAATCTCACTTGTAACAAATATTATGGACAATATGGATTGATATAAAATACAGATTGTACAGTGGTGCCTCGCAAGACGAAATTAATCCGTTCCGCGAGTCTCTTCGTCTTGCGGTTTTTTCGTCTTGCGAAGCACGGCTATTAGCGGCTTAGCGGCTTTAAGAAAAAGGAAACAAACTCGCAAGAACTCGCAAGATGTTTCGTCTTGCGAAGCAAGCCCATAGGGAAATTCGTCTTGCGGAACGACTCAAAAAACGGAAAACCCTTTCGTCTAGCGAGTTTTTCGTCTTGCGAGGCATTCGTCTTGCGGGGCACCACTGTAGAATAATATGCAGTTGTAAATGTTGACAAAGCCACTTCCGAGCTAGGGAGGAGGTGGGGTTGCGGGCTTCACGCCCCTTCACCACGCTCGCGGGGGCTGGCTCCAGCCCCTGCGATAGCAGGGAATCCCCGGACACGTCATACCCTCCCTCTTTCCCGCACCGCAGCTGACCTGGTTTTCCCTCCCTTCCCAACCTTCAGGCTAGGTTCTTTGATGTTGCTATGGACTTCGGTTGGTCGCCGTCAAGGGGCCTGGTAGGAATTTTTCCAACTGGCAGATTGGCACCAGCCACTTGGTTTTTGCCTACCTCGTAGCAAACCGTCACAACTCCACAGTATTGGCGGTTAGGCATTGGTGGGGGTACTGTTTATTATGCAGATGAAGGGGGGCGCCATCACCTTCCCCCAAACAAAAGGGTAGTCCGGTAAAGGATTCCGGGGGCGTGGCCTTGTCCTAAGCCTATGGAGGTATGGGCCCACGGCACGCCCCCGCACGGTGACCCCGGGGGGAGGTCCTAGTTGACATGCCTCAGCAGGACTCCTCCCACTGGTGGTTAACCCTCACCGGCCTTCAAGCGGGTTAGTTGTTAGGAGCAATGCCTAAGCCAATACCGCTCAATTCCTGTAATCAATAAAAGTTGTGGACTAATTTGACCCATTAACTCAAATTATTGTGTCCCGTGTCTTTATTTCTTTGGGGGGAGGCGGGAACTTGCCACGCAATAGGACTCGTGGGGAGGGGAGTCTTGCGATTCAGAGTAATCTCTACATATGGATAAGCATTTGGATTGTTATAATTTTATATTTGTGAAATCAAATAAAAACGATTTCATAGAAAAAGACATGCAGAAGACTACACTGTTAGGAGAGGGAGGTTTAAAAATGGACATCGGCAGAAAGATGAAGTACATTTTGATATGCAGAAATTCATTTATCTCAAAAATTTATAAGCCACAATAAGAAGGCTTTCCTAGCAGTGTACAAGTAAAATTATAGATAAAACAATAAATTAAATATTACAATAAAATGCATTAAACATAAAAGAGTTTTTAATTCTGGAAAATGCTGGTGAAGAGCGGATCATACATTTAACAACGACAACTCATTTTGCTCACTGTTTATCTTCTTCCTCGCCTGGTGCAGTTGTTCCCTACGAGGTCACTGTTTACACAAGTGATATTTTTGGAGCTGGGACTGATGCAGACGTCTTCATTGTCCTGTATGGAGCTGATGGGGTTTGCACTCGCCAGAAATCCTTGTGCCAAAACAAGAGGGAGCGAAGAATGTTCTTTGAGAGGAACACCGTGAATCAGTTCATTGTTGAGGTAACCTGAAAGATGTCGTAGCTGTTCGCCTTCCCGCAGTCCAAATTTCAAGATCTGATGACTCATCCTTCGCTCTCAGAATTATCCTGTGAATTACATTTACATACATTTACTTAATAATTTACAGTATTCATGGGTTGTATCCAACGAAGTCATCACATTATCACAAGGACTTCCACCTGTGTAATTGAATATCCTCCCCCACTATCAAATCAGCTATGGGGTTTTCCCCCCACAACTGTCTGGTGATTTGGGGGCAGGGAGCATGCACAAGCAGACACATCCTTGCACTAACAGGGGAGCCTCATTGGATAAAACCTCCCCCCCCCCAGCTAATTTGGATTTTTTTGGGAGGGAAGGAGAGAAGCGTGATGGCTCTAGGTCAAAAGCCCTACACTCTTTCCATGGCAAAGAGATGAATTAAAGGGTAAAGGGACCCCTGACCATTAGGTCCAGTCGTAGCCGACTCTGGGGTTGCGGCGCTCATCTCACTTTATTGGCCGAGGGAGCTGGCGTACAACTTCCGGGTCATGTGGCCAGCATGACTAAGCAGCTTCTGGCGAACCAGAGCAGCGCTCGGAAACGCCGTTTACCTTCCCGCCGGAGCGGTACCTATTTATCTACTTGCATTTTAACGTGCTTTCGAACTGCTAGGTTGGCAGGAGCAGGGACCGAGCAACGGGAGCTCACCCCATTGCAGGGATTTGAACCTCCGACCTTCTGATCAGCAAGCCCTAGGCTCTGTGGTTCTATCCATGAATGTGGAAAAGAAGGGTAAAAACATGGAAAAGTACTGCAGAATTGATTTCAGTAAATTAATTTGCTAACAAAAGCACCACATCCCCTGAATTGCTTGCAGTCCATTCCACCTTCGTGGCATTCGAAAGCTAAAGATGAAATAAAATAGACATCTAGGCCAACTGCTCTTTTATCCAGATTTTTGTTTTTTTTTTTTGTTTTTTTTTACTGAGGGATCAAATAGTTCTGCCATTAATTCTTTCATGTTTGATCCTCGCATGGCCTTGAGCACTTTAGAATTCCTTTGGACTAACGCAAAACTGTTCCTAAACCTTATTTTTACATGTTTTGAGGTTGATGTTTTATACTGGCAGAAGACAGTTAGTGAGTGGGGAGAGGGGAATAAGAGCAAAATGTTGCATGCTGTCAACTGTTTCTGAGAATCTGTAATAAGTTCAATAGACCTTGAAAACAATTCCGGGATTCCTGATCATCCAAGGGCTGTGAAATGCCTTTTTTAAAAAAAAGAAAAGAAAAAAGAAGTCGTAGTTTTACTGCTGGATCTGCTTTGTATTCTGCAGATAGCATCCTGAAAGCATTTAAGAAACTGTTATCAGCCACACTTTGAGGAGGTGATTTGATGGCAATGTGGAAAGTGCTTGAATAAATATACCATTTTGTTGTTGTTGTTTTTCGTAGGCTTCCTCCATGCCTGTCTTTAAAAGCACACGTGGCATTTCCTTACAAAGGAAGGCAATTTATTTGGCATGAGCAGAAGGGGAGGGGGAGAATAATTGCTCTCCTTCTAATGTTAAATGTTTTTCAGATAAATAGAGATTTTAATCATTTTTGTTCGAAAGGAGAGATGGATAGCACCATCACGGTTGGTCTGGAGAATGTTGGTGTAAACTCTGTCACCTGAAATGGATAATTTTGCAAGCTCATGGATCTACCCCAGTTTCAAGCATTTGCTACTGTTATTGTTGTTCTTACTATTGATTTATTGATGTTTGTTGCTCGTAAAGGATATTTTGTTTTGTAATGTTTGCTGCTTTGCTGTGTTTTTATATTGGTTGTAAGTCGCCCAGAGTGGCTGGGGAAACCCAGCAAGATGGGCGGGATATAATTTTTTTTTAAAAAATATTATTATTAGAAACCAGAAATTGAAAGTTCTAGTGCAGGCACCCCCAAACTTGGCCCTCCAGCTGTTTTGGGACTACAATTCCCATCATCCCTGACCACTGGTCCTATTAGCTAGGGGTGATGGGAGTTGTAGTCCTAAAACAGCTGGAGGGCCGAGTTTGGGGGTGCCTGCTCTAGTGCAACGCAGGGCACAAACACCTTAAACATCCCACCTTCAAGAAAAGGCAAGAGATGGAGAAGGAGAAGGTCTGCTCTGCTCAGTCCCCCTCACCCTTTCTCCCCTGTAGAAGGAGTTATTACACATTAAATTCTGCAGCAGGGATGAAGAGCCTGTAGCCCTTCAGTTGTCTGACTTCAACTCCTATCAATCTCTTTTCCCCCCATAATGATTTTTATTAAGTTTTCCATTTTTATCATATTCACATTTTGTTACATAATTCCATATCCCAATACATTGCTTTAACAGAGCATCGACCTCCTTCCCTCCCTCTTTCCGACTTCCATACATCTTACTAAATTCTTAGCATTTCTAAAATCACTTTTGTTTTACCTTCTATCATTCTTTAATATTTCACCTTATTGTTGGTGTCAGAGTTGCTTCAAGATCCTAGCTCACAGAGGATCACGCTAGCCAACGGTCATTAAGTAAAAGTCTTTATTGAGTTACAGTTTCCATTCTCAAGCTGCTGCGTGCAACTCTACGTCTAGTAGCTAGATCGGCGAAGCTCCGTCTGAATCTCCGCCCCTTGTACACCAACTTAATATCTTAGCCCTGCTCCACCTTTTCCGCCTGACTGTTCTTCTCTGGGTCCCTCTGCCCCCCTGGGTCTCTTCCTTCCGGGATTCTTCTGACGCTGACCCCCCGGACCCTCCTGTCTCCTTGCGCCGGGCTTTAGGACCTGGCTCCCTTTCCGGGCTGCCTACTGCGCCGCCTTCCTGTGCATTTGAACTTGGCGCGCGCGCCCAACCTTCCACCTTCCGTCTAACCGTCTCTTCGCTCCCAGATGGAGGTGTGGCCACTCCTGACTCGTGCCCTCCCTCCTGTTGCGAGCTGCCAGCGCTTGCCCCCTGGCTCCCTTCCTCTTCCCTGTTCTCTGGCGGTGACGCTGGTCCCGATCTCCAACTGCTCTCCTCTGAGTCCCCTCTGGCTCTATCTTCCTGGGGTGCCCCCCTAAACTCCCCCCTTGCCCTGGCCACTGGTGCTCCTTTCTGTGAATCCTCCGATTCACTGGAAAGACTCGGAGATCTCGGGTCGTCGTCATCACTCATCTTTTCTTCTGCCTCCTCCCCTTCGCTCTCTGTTTCCTCCCTTGCCCTTGCCTCTGCTCCTGAACCCCTGACAGTTGGTAAATCAGTTCCTTATATTTACATGACAAAACATTTCAGTCCAAACCTACAAACGTTTTCAGATGTTTACAATTTTCTTTCATATAGAATATAAATTTGTTCCAGTCCTTTTGAAACAGTTTGTCGTGCTGATTCCGGATTTCCCCCGTCAACTTGGCCATCTCTACATACTCCACCATCTTGACCTGCCATTCTTCCAACTCCTATCAACCTCAGCCAACATGGCCAATGGTTAAGAATGATGGGAGTTGTAGTCCAACAACATATTCCCCACCCTAGCTGTAGTACAGCCCGGAAAGCCCTGGGCAAAGTCTAAATTGGCCATTATTCTCTCTTGGATTCTTCATCTCCAGCCATTAATATACACCTTTTTGTTTTATTTTGGCCAAGTTCATGAGCTTCAGTCTACAGCCAAGTCCTCTGCTAGCTGGAATGTGTTAGGACCTAGCACACCTTTCTGAGATGGTTGCCATTTGAGATGCTGCCGGAATATTTGTCATCTCCTTATCCCATTAAGAACAAACAAGATACAAGCTAAAGGAACAAATAGGATTGGGTGTTGAAAAGTGAGGTTGCTAAACTTTGGTTGATCCTGAAATGTCTTCCTTGATTTCTCCAGTTGGAGGACATTGGGGACATTCTTGAAAAGATCCGCATTGGGCATGACGGCGCAGGGATTAATCCTGGTTGGCATCTTGATAAAGTGCAGATACGAAGGCTTTTACCCAATGGAAAGGTGAGCAGAAAGCTGAACATTTTGCCGCATGCACCTATTCCACCAGAACTTTTCTGCTTTGTGCAGCAGAGGGCAGACCCCGAATTTGTTGCAAAACCCTGGCAGCAAGTCCTTACCTCCTTCTGGCCAAGAAGGTGGCAAAAATCCTAACCATGTATAAACTAATGGGATCTGAACTGGTGTTACCGGGAACCACAGGTGGGAAGAGTTGCTCTTGTGCTTGAATCCTGCTTGCAGGCTTTTCACAGGCTCAGCCACTGTGAGAACCGGATGCAGGCCTGATCTGCAGGCTCCTCTTATGTTTGTAAACGGCCTCGGTCCAGTATATCTGAAGGAGCGTCTCCACCCCCATCGTTCTACCCGGACACTGAGGTCCAGCACCGAGGGCCTTCTGGCGGTTCCCTCACTGCGAGAAGTCAAGTTACAGGGAACCAGGCAGAGGGCCTTCTCGGTAGTGCCGCCCTCCCTGTGGAACACCCTCCCACCAGATGTCAAAGAGAACAACAACTACCAGACTTTTAGAAGACATCTGAAGGCAGCCCTGTTTAGGGAAGCTTTTAGTGTTTGATTTATTGCAGTATTTTAATTTTTTTTTTGGAAGCTGCCCAGAGTGGCTGGGGAGGCCCAGCCAGATGGGCGGGGTATAAATAATAAATTGTTATTATTATAGTAAGACTGACCAGGGAAAAGATCTTTGGTGGGCTCTGGTGAACAGCTCGATGAAGATATTGTCCCCGTGTGCGGCAGCTGTAGGGGGGAAAAGTGAATTCCACATTATAGATCAGTAGGAAAACAACAACCGTCAGTACAGAAATCGTGGAATACTGGGTAGAATTTTGGCTTCTGCATCTCAAAAAGGATACTTGTAGAACTAGAAAAGGGGCAAAAAGGGACCCAAAATGGGATTGGAGCAAAGGCAAGTAAGGGATACAAAATGGTGTACGGTGTAGAGAAAGTAGATAGGGAAATGTTTGTCTCCCTTTCTATTAATAGTAGTATTCAGTGCCTAACATCAATCTACAAATGGCTGACATTGAATCTGCTCCCCCGAGGAATAGCCCCACTGATCCTCTGTGACCAGTTCCAGTCAGGCTGGCAGACAGCAGTCCTGAACACCCTTCAGAAACTGGGTTTTGCCCCTCAAGCCCTTCTGAGTCTGGGGCTGGGCCAGGCAAAAGCTACGGACAGGCAAAGAATCATAGACACTGAGAGACAACAGGACTGCTCAAGGTGCCCTGACTATAAAATTGGGGAAATTGAGAGATATATAGCTGCACCAGCAGCATAGCTCTTCTTTCTCGTATCCAAAAATGCAAGAAGGGCTTTTACACTCACCAGAAGCTCGGCTCTGCCCTCGCCGGTCCTGGAACGATCCTTTTAAAAAGTCCCGTATGCTCAGAGACTTTGCACCTGTCCATTGGGGGATCTAGGAAGCCCAGAGCACTTGTTCTTTAGATGCCCCTTTTATGAAGAGGCACGTAGTGAGACCATTAAGCCCCTACTGGTGAGGCTCACTGACCTCCTGGAAAAGCAACAAATTGACCTTTTCCTGTTAGGCAAAGATCAGAAGACGACCCGGATGGTTGCCAGATTCTGTATACAGATCTGTAGGCGCAGACCATCCCCCGACTCAAATTAGTCCGTTAAGAAAACCCCCAAATTCAGTTCCATGGGTGACTCTGGGTCATCTCTCTGTGGTAGCTTATCTTAAAGTTTTAAGTGTCTACACACTTATCACATTTATAAATTTTAAATTTATTGTTGTACATTGTTTTAAATGTTTGTTTTCCTTCTGGGATTGTACAGTGGTGCCCCGCAAGACGAATGCCTCGCAAGACGAAAAACTCGCTAGACGAAAGGGTTTTCCGTTTTTTGAGTCATTCCGCAAGACGAATTTCCCTATGGGCTTGCTTCGCAAGATGAAACATCTTGCGAGTTCTTGCGAGTTTGTTTCCTTTTTCTTAAAGCCGCTAAGCCGTTAATAGCCGCTAAGCCGCTAAGCCGTTAATAGCTGCTAAGCCGCTAAGCCGTTAATAGCCGCTAAGCTGCTAAGCCGCTAATAGCCGCTAAGACGCTAAGCTGCTAATAGCTGTGCTTCGCAAGAGGAAAAAAACGCAAGACGAAGAGACTCGCGGAACGGATTAATTTCGTCTTGCGAGGCACCACTGTACCCCCAAGTGTGTTTTATAAGCTGGTCTCCGACCATAATAAATTATCTATATCTATCTATCTATCTATCTATCTATCTATCTATCTATCTATCATCTATCATCTATCTATCATCTAGTAGTATTCAGGGTCATCCAAGGAAGATGAATGATGCAAGATTCAGAATGAATGGATAACTCAGTTGGTAGAGCATGAGAGCCAGTGTGGTGTAGTGGTTAAGAGCGGTAGTCTCGTAATCTGGGGAACCAGGTTCGATTCCCCTTTCCTCCACATGCAGCTGCTGGGTGACCTTGGGCCAGTCACACTTTTCTGAAGTCTCTCAGCCCCACTCACCTCACAGAGTGTTTGTTGTGGCGGACGAAGGGAAAGGAGAATGTTAGCTGCTCTGAGACTCCTTAATAGGAGTGAAAGGCGGGATATCAAATCCAAACTCTTCTTCTTCTTAATCTCAGGGTTGTACGTTCAAGTTGGGCAAAAGATTCCTGCATTGCAGAGGGTTGTAGATGATCCTTGGGCTCCATTCCAACTCTACAGTTCTGTGATTCTGGAAATTACTTATTCACACACTGCGTAGTGACTTTAAAAGGTGATTAGCTGTTGATGGCTACGAACCACACCTCTATGTATTACCTCCAGTGTCTAAGATGGTCTGCCACTAGCTACCAGTTGCCAGGGAGCAACTGGTGGGCCACTGTGAGAACAGAATGCTGGACTAGATGGGTTTCTAGTCTAATCCAGAAGGGCCCTTCCTATATTCTCACGGCCTTATGCAAGTCACTGTCGGACTGGGCAGTTCCTGACAGTCGCTATTTTCAAATGGGCTTCAAGCATAACCCAAACATTCAGGTTGAACAAATCAGACTTTCTGCAATAATGGAAGGGGCCATGCGCCTGCTGTTTGTTAAGTTCCCCACAAACAAAGGGGAACAAATGCTCATTGGAAGTAGAGAGTGGAGTAGAAATTTGATTCAGCCCATATTAAAAGGTGAGCCTGCCTAATTTGGACTTTCTGAAGCATTACAGAAACTGGAACACCGCCACCCTTCAGAATTTATATCTGAAGGAGAGTCTCCACCCCCCATCGTTCTGCCCGGACTCTGAGGTCCAGTGCCGAGGGCCTTCTGGTGGTTCCCTCACTGCGAGAAGCCAAGTTACAGGGAACCAGGCAGAGGGCCTTCTCGGTAGTGGCACCCACCCTGTAGAACGCCCTCCCACCAGATGTCAAAGAGAACAACAACTACCAGACTTTTAGAAGACATCTGAAGGCAACCCTGTTTAGGGAAGCTTTTAATATTTGATGTATTACGGTATTTTAATATTTTGTTGGAAGCCGCCCAAAGTGGCTGGGGAAACCCAGCCAGATGGGCTGTGTATAAATAATAAATTGTTGTTGTTGTTGTTGTTGTTATTGTTATTATTATTATTATTATTAGCACTTTTTCGCATCTTGCAATGAGGTTCCCTGGCAAAGCAGTGTAGCAGTGTGCACAAAAAACACACGGATATGCACATATCAGTGCATTATATTAGGGAAATCCCTTTGCAAAAGTGTGTGTATCAGGCAGAAGGGCATGCAAAAACGTGGATATTTGGAGAAATTCGCAGTAAAACGGTGATGAATTTTCTTGAGGATTTTTTTTTTAAAAAATAGAACTTAAAGAAAAAAGCAAACAGCTCAGTCTAGAGTACCTGCTTTGCATGCAGAAAGTTCCGGGCTCAATCCCCATTATCTCTAGGTAGGGCTGGGAGAGTATCCCTGTCTGAAACTCTGGACAGCCCCTGCCGGTCCGTGTAGAGAATATTGAGCTAAATATACCATTGGTTCTGACTCACTGTAAGGCAACTTCCTGCGCTCTGCTCTAAAATTTTATGGTGCTAATTTTCCAGTTAATGTGCTGCCTACCTCATCAAAACAAAATGTACCGTATTCTTTGCTCTATAAGACTCACTTTTCCCCTTCTAAAAAACTAAGGGGAAATGTGTGTGTGTGTGTTATGGAGCGAATGCAGGCTGTGCAGCTATCCCAAAAGCCAGAACAGCAAGAGGGACTGCTGCTTTCACTGCACAGCGATTCCTCTTGCTGTTCTGGCTTCTGAGATTCAGAAATTTTTTCTTCTTGTTTTCCTCCTCCAAAAACTAGGTGCGTCTTGTGGTCTGGTGCGTCTTATAGAGCGAAAAATACGGTATCTTGCTTCCTCAGGAAGGTCAGAAACTGAGCAGCTCCCAGTGCACCCTGTTGGCCGAGTGTGGAAAATGTTCCCTGAAGACTTAAGAAGGCCGGCAGGGCCTACTCTTGCAGTGGCTCCTCCCCTCTGGAAGAGCCGTCTGCAAACCTTAAATGGCCTGTATCTGATTCCGCAGATGCGGCCTCCTGCCTGGGATGTGGAGCAGGAAGAGCGACAAGGGAGACATGCCCAGAGTCTGAGGGAAATGGAAGAGGCATGCTCTTAGGCTGGGAAGGCATAGAACAGGGCACTGAGGGCTTCTCATTGGCTTTGCTATGAGAAGCCAAGTTACAGGGAAGCAGGCAGAGGGCCTTCTCGGTAGTGGCACCCTCCCTGTGGAACACCCTCCCACCAGATGTCAAAGAGAAAAACAACTACCAAACTTTTAGAAGACATCTGAAGGCAGCCCTGTTTAGGGAAGCTTTTAATGTTTAATAGGTTATTGTATTTTAGCGTTTTGTTGGAAGCCGCCCAGAGTGGCTGGGGAAACCCAGCCAGATGGGTGGGGTATAAATAATAATAATAATAATAATAATAATAATAATAATAATAATAAGGGAGTGGGCAGAAAAACATTCATCTGTACCCATTCTGCAGTGGGCAGAA